GGCTTGTCGGTGGGACGGGTAGGGGGGTCGATGGCATCAATAGCCTCAAGAAGGGTCTTGCCAGACTTGGAACCAGCCTTGGTTTCCTTGGTCCAGCCCTTGAACCAGGGCATGTTGGTGGACTCCTCCAACATGTTATCTCCGTGCCATCCGGAGATGGGGACGAAGGGAACGGACTTGGGGTTGAAACCGATCTTCTTGATGAAGGAAGAAACTTCCTTGACGATTTCGTCATAACGGTCGCCAGACCACTTGGTGGTGTCCATCTTGTTGATGGCAACAATAAGTTGGCGGACACCGAGGGTGAAAGCAAGAAGAGCGTGCTCACGGGTTTGACCATCCTTGGAGATACCAGCTTCGAATTCACCAGTACCGGCAGCGATGATAAGAACACCGCAATCAGCCTGGGAAGTACCAGTAATCATGTTCTTGATGAAATCACGATGTCCGGGGGCATCAATGACGGTAACTGTTAAGGAAGCAGAGGTAAGTTTAAAAGAATTTCAAAAAGCCTGCCAGTGTTTGTTTCACAACTTACCATGGTACTTGGGAGTTTCGAACTTCCAGAGAGCGATATCAATGGTGATACCACGCTCACGCTCAGCCTTGAGCTTGTCAAGAACCCAAGCGTACTTGAAGGAACCCTTACCGAGTTCAGCGGCTTCCTTCTCGAACTTCTCGATGGTACGCTTGTCGATACCACCGCACTTGTAAATCAAGTGTCCAGTGGTGGTGGACTTTCCAGAATCGACGTGACCGATGACGACGACGTTAACGTGAGTCTTTTCCTTACCTATTGAGAGGAATCACGAGAGTTAAGCAACGGCAGACGGTATATTTTCTGACACATGATGGAAATCAATTTACCCATTTTGAAGAGCTAAAGTGTGAGGAGGGAAGAAAATTTTTTCTGGTCCAAGCTAAAAATTTGGCTGGGGGTCGACGTCATCCCCAGTCTAGTGGCTTGGTAGTCACACTCTTCATGACGTATCAAACTTTGTTGTATTCAATGCGACGACTTGACTAGGAAGCATAGCAGGATTGATAGAATGTAGGAACCTAAAAGAAAGTAGCTCTTTGAAAAGAAGGAGAATTTTTAAATGGTAATAAAAGGTTGTTACAGCTGCAGATAGCATTTGCCTGTGGAACGCGGCGTGTCATTAAAATTGTACCAACACGTTAAGTGATATCACCGCGATGTCTATGGGCAACAGTGCGAGGTAGAATAAGAGGACTCAACCAGAATTTCGCTGTAGAAAAAATGTTCAAAGCAGCTCCATACAATATGTGATGCGATAAATATACTTTATACCGCCAATGATGATTTTTTCATTCTCAAGGAGACGAGATAGCAGGAACATTCGCTATTTCAGAGCGCTATGTATATTGTATATTATTACTGAGAGTTCAGTGTAATTCAGGAAGCTTCATAACGCAGTGTTATGTAGAACTTGGATTGTATTGCCTACAATGATCGTGCTAATATCATTCAGGTACATTTGGATATCATAGAAAAAGCACGAATAAGCAGTTCTCGATCAAGCATATCTCCTTATTTTAAATTGATCCTCAATCTTAATGAACTTATCCTTGTGTAGGGGCCACTTTACAACCAGGTGGTGGCAATGCAGCTGTTGTTGAAGGCAGTCACTTTTTAACGCGCTCGCGTGACAATTTCGCGTTTGGGAGACATTTTTTGGGAAAAAGAACCTGGCTCCCAAGATTCAAGCGACGTTCAATCTATCCGCATGAGTGACTCTGAAAGTGATTTCGAGGCATCCGGCAGTGATTTTGATGGCTATGTTGAACAGGCTCCACCCACTCCAAAGGTAATTACCGCATAGACTGCTTCTGCCCGAAGATTGGGAACAGTTTTACTAAAGTGCGCATACAGCCAAAGAAGGCGGCGGGGAAAAAGGCAGCTCCAAAGAAGGTAGAAAAGAACGGCAACGTAGCTGCGATGCTTGGCATCACCGCTACAAATGACGAGAATTCCATTCCAAGCAGCCCTGCCATATCGACCGGCTCCGGTACCCCTAAATCCAAGACTATCGAGGAAATCTATCAGAAAAAGTCACAACTTGAACATATCTTGCTTCGACCCGACACATATATCGGTTCCGTTGAAGAGCAGAAGCAAGAGATGTGGATCTATGAAAACGAAAAGATTGTTAAAAAGGAGATTTCCTTTGTACCTGGTTTATATAAGATTGTCGACGAAATTCTCGTTAATGCTGCAGACAATAAGGTAGGCCTAGTATTTTGAAACCAATTTGGCGAGATTAAACATGTATATTAAATCTGGTTGATAGATTCGTGATCCCCAAATGTCGGAAATGCGTGTCGAAGTTGATCGTGCAGAGAACCGTATTTCAGTCTGGAACAACGGTCTAGGTATTCCGATCGAAATTCACAAAGAAGAGAAAATCTACGTTCCTGAAATGATCTTTGGTCATTTGCTGACTTCATCAAATTATGATGATAATGAGGAAAAACTCTTCGGTGGACGTAACGGTTATGGCGCCAAACTTTGTAATATCTTCAGCACCGAGTTCATCATCAGGACGGCGGACAAGGAGAGAGGGCTCAAATATGAGCAAGTGTTCAACGATAATATGTCCAAGAAGAAGGCACCAAAGATCACAAAGAACAGCAAGGGTGAAGAGTACACGGAAATCATCTTCAAGCCAGATCTCAGCAAATTTGGCTTGACCGAGTTATCGGAAGATTTCGTGAAACTTCTACAGAAGAGAGCCTACGACATGGCTGGATGTGTTAAACGTGAACCTAAGCCTATCAGAGTGAAGTTTAATAAGGAAAAAATTGCAATCAACGACTTCAAAAAGTACGCCCAGCTCTATACAGATTCAGAAGAACCAACCGATGGTGCCGAAGCACAGAAAAAGAATATCATGTTCGATGATGGTGCAAAGAACGAACGTTGGCAAGTTGGATTTTCTATCAGTGAGGGACAGTTCACTCAGGTAAGGCATACTTAGACTGACACAACGATTTTCGGATAGTTTAAACTAAACTAAACACTATTACTATCTTTAGGTCAGTTTCGTCAACAGCATTTGTACATCAAAAGGTGGAACACACGTCAATGATGTCGCCGATAAAATTGCAAATATCATCAAAAAGAAAGTGGATTCGATGAGGAAAAATGACAAGAGTAACATCAAGACATTCCAAATCAAAAATCACATGTGTTTGTTCATCAACTGTCTTATTCCCAATCCGTCCTTCGACAATCAGACCAAGGATACGATGAATTTACACAGATCCAAATTCATCAAAACAAGCGAGTACACACCAAGCGAAGGATTTATCAAGAAAAGTAAGTTTACATATTTCGAGGAACAGCTCTTTGAAGGAACTACGTTGTACTGACGTCTTTTTGTATCAGTTCTGAGCAGTGGCATTTGTGATAAGGTCATCAAATGGGCAGAGTTCAAACAGTCACAGCAAATGACCAAGGCTGATGGAACCAGGATCGAAAGGTATAGACAATCACTCACACTGACATAATACTGCTCACCCCCCTCACACAAACACACGTACTTATTTTCCAATTAGACGTATCAATGTCCCAAAGCTCGACGATGCCAATCTAGCGGGAGTGAAGGGACAAGGCAAACATTGCACGTTGATTTTGACCGAAGGTGATTCCGCTAAGGCGCTTGTGTTAGGTGGTCTCTCTGTTGTAGGAAAGGACAAATTCGGTGTATTTCCTTTGCGCGGTAAACTGTTGAACGTACGTGATGCGTCTCAGTCGCAAATCATTGGCAACGCTGAAATTCAACATATCAAGACAATCCTTGGATTGAAACATGGCAAGCATTACACTAGTGTTGATGAATTAAGATATGGCAGTCTTATGATCATGACTGATCAAGTAAGCTGAAGTCTCTCATTGCATAGTATGAGTGTCTACACTGCTTGACTTACTAACTTAACCATAGGATCATGACGGTTCTCATATCAAGGGATTGATCATCAACTTCATCGATCAAATGTTTCCTTCGTTACTGGACATTCCTGGCTTTTTACTCGAGTTCATTACTCCCATTATAAAGGTATATCATATTTGACAAACCGGACGATCTGAACAATTTCAAAAAAATCTAATGCTTTTCTGTAGTGCAAGAGGAAAGGAAGAGATGAAACCATTTCGTTTTATACTATACCAGAGTACCAGGCATGGGCATTGGCTCACAACAAAAACAAAGAGTGGACACCAAAGTATTTCAAGGTTCGTATGCATTTTACCGCTGTCCAGACTACGAACGGCCACTAACGGTGCATATTGCCATAGGGTTTGGGAACTTCAGATAGAAAGGATGCAAGAGAGTATTTTAAAAATTTGGATCTACACAAAAAGACTTTCTGTGTGCCAGAAGCTGGCGAAAGAGAATTGATTGACATGGCATTCAATAAGAAGAAGACAGCTGAAAGAAAAGAGTGGCTCGCTCAGTATGAGGTTTGTAATGTCTGAACGATAGAGTCCTTGAAGGTCTAAATGCTAACATCAATAATGTAGCCTGGTATTTTCATGGACAACAGTGTGAAAGAGATCCGTTTATCCAACTTTATCAATCAAGAACTCATGCTTTTCAGTATGGCAGATAACATCAGATCGATTCCTTCCATGGTAGATGGCTTCAAACCTGGTCAACGCAAAGTACTGTTTGGTACAATCAAATCTCGTAAACGTGGCGAAATGAAGGTACGTCTTTCACCATTCCACTGGTAGCTTGAAAGCACAACATCTCTGACCAGGTTAGCAATAGGTTGCGCAATTAGCATCCGCCGTGTCTGAAATCACTAGGTATCATCACGGAGAACAAAGTGTGCAAGCTACTATTGTAGGTATGGCGCAGGACTTCGTCGGAAGCAACAACATCAATTTGCTGGTGCCCTCTGGTCAGTTTGGTACTCGTCATCAGGTTCGTGTCCACAAAAGCCATATATTCATTGAATGCCCCCCATATTGATTTTCGATGCGCAGGGAGGAAAAGATGCTGCCAGTGCTCGTTATATCAACACCAAGCTATCAAAGATCTCCAGAACCGTCTTCCATGTAGACGACGATCCTTTATTGCAATATGAGATAGAGGAAAACAAATCCGTTGAGCCAAAATGGTATATACCTATTCTTCCCATGGTACTCGTGAACGGTGCGGAAGGTATCGGTACTGGTAAGTATCCTGAACCTTCTTCTCATGGTGTTATTTCAATGGTCTAACTTGATCTCGATTAGGTTGGAGTACTTCAATTCCAAACTATAATCCAAAGGATATTGTGGACAATTTGTTCAGAATGATGGAAGACGAAGAAGTTGTTCCAATGATACCATGGTATCGCGGTTTCAAGGTATGCACACATTTCGTTTTGCATCTGTTCAGCAACCAAATCCTGACTTGTCAATTGGCCGCAGGGAGAAATATCAAATGCTGGGGATAATAAATTCGGTGTATCTGGAATTGCCCAGGTCAACGATGATGCTACTGTTACCATCTCTGAGCTGCCCGTTCGAATGTGGACTCGTCAGTTCAAGGAACAGCTAGAAATGATGCGTGATCCTAAAGACAAGAAGCCAGAAGTGACTATTCAGGTAGATATAATAACCCTTCAGATGGACCATTAACACCATATCCAACTGATTATGTATGCTCATTTCATTCTTCAGGATTTCTTCGATAACTGCACTGACAGCTTTGTAGAATTTACTCTATACCTTTCCGATGACGCTTTGGCCAAAGTAGACAGACAAGGCCCATTAGCAACTTTCAAGCTCCAGAATAACATCACCACTAGCAATATGGTGTGCTTTGATAGCGAAGGACGCCTAAAGAGATATGACTCGGCAGAGTCCATTCTGAAGGAATTCTATGACCTGCGTTTATCTTATTACCAAAAGCGAAAGGTACAGTCAGCAATGCTCTTAAGTTAGACAGCCTCTCAAGCGATGCTAACATTCCTATCTTCGTGAACAGGCTCGCTTGCTTGAACGACTTCAGGATGAATATGAGCGCTTAGACAACAAGTCCAAGTTCATTGAACTTGTGATTGAGAAGAAGCTTGTTTATGTGAATCGCAATGAACAAGATGTCATTAAAGACTTTGAGAAATATGATCTTAAGCGCATCTATCCCAAGAAGGACGTCAAGCATGATATTCTCGCCCAAGAAGACGACGAACGAGAGGAATCTCCATCTGATGAACAAATCTCATCGACAAATGATTCAGGTTACGACTACTTATTTGAAATCAATGTCAGAGGATTTACCCGCCAAAAGGTTAGTGCGTAGACATCAAATCAATGGTTACATCTTTGTTCTTACATGTGTATTAGCTGGAGAGCCTTCGAAGGCAGCGTATGAAGAAGATGGAGGAGATTCAGATTTGCCTTGATAAGTCGCCAAAAACTTTCTGGAAGGATGATCTGACACTCTTCCTTAAAGAATGGGAGGTATGTTGACTTTACTCTTTCTTGCGACATTATCGCAATTAGAAGCGGGGCACTGACAGTATGGTCTTCTATATGATAGGATATGCTTGAAGAAGATGCTAGTCTGGCTGAACTGGGCAAGCCAAAGACTAACAACAGCAAACAAAGACGTTATAAGCCTAGAGCACCTAGACCGAAGAAGAAGGATGATAACGCCGTCAAGGTTGAAACACCAGACGCAGGAACACCAGACTCAACTACTAAGGGTGAGTCCGATTACATATGCTGTTGGCAATGCAGTTTTTACTGATGACGTTCCTAAGCAGCCAAGTCCACCAAAAAAGCGAAGCAATCAAAGCTTGATGGTATGTTCAAAAATGTTGCTGATGGCGACACAGCCAGTCCAATCGACGACTCTGCAATGATTGGTGGCCCTGATATCTTTATGGATCAACTGGAGTCGATGCAAGACATGCAGTTTGATTACAACTTTGATGACCCAGGTACGTTAAATCGCGATTACCTGGCAACGAGCCGTTCTTTTTGAATAACGCTTTGTTTCACCATGTAGAGCCGTCACCTCCTGTCAATGACTCTATACCAGCTTCTCCCGCAGGTGCCATTACTGATAATACTGTGAGTGAGCGGCCCTCCGATACGGATGCATCGGCTGCTGCTTCGCCGAACCCTGTCATCGCCAGTCCCGTGAATACGCTTCCGGATCCTGTTATTCCTGAAGCTACCGGTGCTGTCAAACAGACCAAGAAGAGAAGTCGAGTTGAAGCTGATACAACTTCCAAATCAAAAAAGAAACGAACCGATCATGACGATGATTCTGGTGACTCGGAAGAGAAAATGAAAAAGAAACCTGCAGTTGAGGAAGCTACTACGGTTGAAAAAGAGACAGTGGCTGCACCACCCGCTAGCTCCCAGCTGGACGATATCGACCCATTTGATTACCCGTTTGATGCCACACCAATTCAATCACTCACAAAAAATGGCAAAAAGGCTGCTCCCAAAGGCAAACCCGCATCCACGTCAGTGCCATCAAAACCTTCCAGAGCTGTGAAGGCCAAAGTCAAGTACGTTGAGATTGTCAGTGATGACGATGATGACGACGATGGTGATGCATACAACGATGATCACGGCGATGACAGCGACTAAATATAAAACAATCACCTTACGATATCCTGAAGAATAATAAAACGTGCTCATCATGAAATATTTTCATCAAAGTCTGTTCTCTTTTATTCATGTGGTTCAAGTGAACCTCAAGCTGGGATGAATCTGTATAAGCAAAAAAACCAAACTGCAGTGCATCTGTTATTCAAGTGAATTGAATTATGTATAGTTTAGCAAGGGTTCTCAGCACTGGAAACCTTGGTGTTGAGAATAAGTGCGACAATAAGTCCATAAAGACCCAAAACTTCAGCGAAAATGAGAATCAAGATCTGTGAAAGAAAAATTTGATTAGAATATGTCAAACAGTTTGCAAGACGTGAGTTGCGAACTTACCATTCCGACAAACATACGAGGCTGTTGTGCAGTAGCGCGGACACCAGCGTCACCAGTGATACCAATGGCAAAACCAGCAGCTAAGGCAGAGAGACCAACGGACAGACCAGCACCAAACTGGACGAAACCACTGTAAAGAGACTGCTTCACTGCCACTATATACGAAAGCAGAAAACAATGAGTAAAGCGGTTCAGGCTGGTTTTTCAAATGAAGATCAAAGACTTACATCCACTGGACAGAAGTACTGCAACGACGACACCATAAATACCCAAGATACCAGCCATGACAACGGGGACGAAGCATCTGATGATCAAGTCAGGACGAAGGACACCAATAGCGGAGAGACCGACACCAGCCTTAGCGGTACCATAAGCGGCACCAAGACCTGTCAAAAAGTGAATTGGGTAATTAGTAAAACGTGTTATGTGAAGATATTTTGGAATGTCACGGTAATGTAAAGTATGAAACTAAACAAAATGAACGATTATGCAATAACCGTTCAAGTGGTGTTCGAACGTAGGATCAACCACCTAAGAACGCGAAAAAGTCGACTATGACACCTGCTATAGGTATAATCACTATAGAGATGATAAAGAAACGTAAAAACTTACAACAGAAGACAATGGCAGCTGTGCAGCCCATTGTGCCGAAGAAAGGTGCGTAGACAGGACTGTAAACACGGAAACAAGATGAGTCGGATGGTTATACATTGTACTATTCGTTCACTTGCAGTGAGTAAAACACGCACCAGTAATCAGCCATTTCGATAAATGTGTTGGAGATGTGAAGGGCAAAAGACTTCGCTTGGTATAGCTATGTCAGTAAAAGTTGGCCCAGCTTTAGCGAAATGTCAAGCAACTTTGTGACGTAGTCCATTTTTTTTCAATGTCAAAATTAAAATATGTCCTGCGTCGACAGCGTCGAATATGTCTCTGTGTTGAGCACCCAACCTTAAAGTGCAAAGTCGAATGTACCGCTTACTATTTAATGACGCAAAACTATTACTACAAGCATGAAGTTCAGGGTGGCCATGTATACATACATTGCAAATGGTTGAACGATGTTTCGTTGGAAGCCGATTCCACCCAGATAATATGCGAAATATCGCTTTCCGATACGACTGCCTTCTGGCATACTCAAGGTAAACAAATTGGCCCAATATATCCTACCCATTCATCCAGAGCTCACACTATTTTATATGATGAATAGTCACTATGGCAGACATCCTTCGCTTCAGATCTTTACATATTGATGTGGACCTTTGGAAACAATTGATCCAAGCAGCTCTTGTTGGAAATTCGGAGTTCAGAGGAGAGCCTCTAGATCGAAGGCTGGACTTTTCAAAGCCTCAATGCACTATTTCATGGGTGAGCCGTTTGGAAGGCTCTATTGATGTAAGACGTTGCCTTTTTTTTTTATCCCTAGGACGTAGTTCATTGAAGTATCTAGATCACTGAACTCTTCCATTTCTAGCTGCAAATTGCCGAAGTCACGTTAGAGCGAAGTCAAGATAAAGACACACCCAGCCAATGGAAGTCTTTGTTAAATGATCTCTTCGACGATGAAATGTATCTAAAGGTAGAGTAAATTGGTATGTTGAACACTGATCAATTGCTTCTGACCGTTTGAGATCGGATTATTTAGGAATCGAGAGATGCCATGATGACTAGGATAAAAGGGCTGGAGGAGACGTGCGAGCAATTGAAACACGCAGCGGAGAGAATCGTTCGTGATAAGCTGGATGCTGAATTATTACTTATGGACAAGGTAAAGTCTACTACACATGCTTCCATAAGCTTACCCACGATATTAATGTGTGCCACAATATAGTTCAAGTTGATTCTGAATGCGAAGAAACGCAAGATAAAGAATCTGACTACGGTCCTTCAAAATGCTGGTATGCGAACACTCTTTATACTACATGTTGGCATAGACTTTTCTAACACTTCTTGGTAGATCTTTTGCAATCAAATGAGCCTCCCTTAGCTGGAGCATCCAATTCGCCTGCTGTGGGATCCACATCTGCATCTATGTCCAACACGCAAACTGCATTGACCAGAAGAGATAAAGGCAAAAGGTTATTATTGTTCTCAACCCTCAATGGTTTTTAGTCGTGGTGTTGACGTTCTCGTTTAGAAAACGAACTCAAAGCCATGATATTATCGGCGAAGGGTCTTCTTTATCTCAAACCGGATCTCAACCAACACCCAAGCGGAAACCAACCACGTAAGTTGGTTAAATTGATATAAGTACGAACTTGAGAGCAGATACTGACTTATGTCATAGGCGTAAACGCTCACCGTCTGCCACACCATCGTTGGAAGAGCTCACAACAGATTCTCCATTTAAAACAAATATAAAAATGGAACCCAGTGATAAAGTCGACAGACCATCAAAGTCATTCCATGTTAGCAACGAAAGCTATCAATTTAATCCATCGCCTAATCGCATGCCTGCTTCTCCATCTCCTCAAAAACTCGCAACAGTACAAGAGGAGGAAATAATTTCTTCAGCACCAGCGGGACATGATGACAATTTCTCGTCGTTGTTAGACGATGATGACCTTGCTGTTCGTCCTCGAAATGTTCGGACTTCTCGAAGAAAGAAACGCTAAATTATCAAAAATGTATAGAATACTACTATCTAGACCTAATTACTTCATTAATGATACCGTCATAATACGAGTTGTGTTACTACTTTGTATTGACTGTATCGTGGACAAACAAATGACAATGTACCATTATCTTCTAGTTTCTCCATGTCTATATCTCACGGAAAATAAGAAGTCGCTGTCATTATCGACATCAGTCTGCTTCGTTTCCCTTCAACCAGCCCATATAATTTTACGGAGGCTTTGTAATATACGGTTTATCTTGGTTACATCTTGGAGAAACCTCCGCTCATTGAGAACTGGTCCGTTTCGTACGAGCTGGCAAACTGAGAGTGTAAATTTGTAATTTTGTGCCCCACATCAACATTTAAATACTCAATATGCCCTGCTCGTCGCGATGAAATCAACATACAGAACATCTTTATTTGATTTCTTAAGCTGAGTAAGTACTAACATGGCGAGAACTATCACTCTAATGCTGAAAGTGTTTTTGTTGCATTTCCGTTATAGATCATTGATCAATAATGCCTAGAATTGTGATTCCAGCCGGGCTTAAAGCAAAAGAAAATAGCCGTCGCCGATGAAAGCGACAAACACTAAGCAAGCTGGTTCAGCGGCTCAAACCAGAAAAATAAAAAAGTTCGTAAATGAGCTGAACGTAACTCTGCGACGGGCCATTCTTAATTGGCTGAAGAAAAATCGATATAACACCCGAATTTTTTAATCTATAGATTTGATAGTAACCTTCTTCTTTGCAATCTTTACTTTACGCAATTATGCTTGGTTCGAAGATTCAGACCCTAGTTGGCTTGGGTAATGAAATGATTTTTTATCAAATCGTGATGCTGTCAATGATTTCATAATTCTAATCGATCATGTTCGCTAGCTGGCTTGCTAGTTGCCGGTTTACCTTCCATCGTAACCGCTGATGATGGTAAGATTTAAATGTACAACATAATACCACTATAGCGATCATTTAGTCTGATATTTCCAATGAGATAGGCTCTTTGACCCTTCCTGTATGGAATCACCCAACCGGCATTGCTGGTGGACCGGTTCCTCAAGTCACAGCCTGTGCCAATTCCGGAAACATTGCAGTCACCTATGTAAGTCCTCCTTGCCATTCTCCAGGATTTAGTAAAACTGTATCTAACTTGCAGATTTTGATGTTTCGAATATAGAATGAAGGGCCCAGTGACGTTACGGCCAAGGTCCTTAACGGTCTTAAAAACAGCCAGGCCAAGGCTAACTTCTTCGTCAACGCCACTTGGTTATATACTCAACAATATGCTATGATGCTCCAACGTGCTTATAACGATGGTCACTTCATTGGCATGACCTACCGTGTTCCTTCTGACAACCCCAGTGCTATGACCGATGCTCAAATCATTCAGGATATCACTAACACTGCCAAGATCATTCAGACTTTGATCGGTGTTTCTCCCAAATATGTTCGCCTCCACTACTCTAGCACTCCTGACACCCGCACTGAGCGTATTTTGTCAGATCTCGGCTTTACCCTTGTAGGATACAATTTGGACACCATGGACTATAAATTCAAGGAGAATCCTGCTGGAGTTGCCGACCTGTACAAAACTACTTTCGCAAAGCAGTTGGAAACCTACGACAGCAAGGGTTCCTTCATCAGTGTTCAATATGATATCCCCGATACTGGCAGTTACCTAGCCATCAATGATGTTATTAAGACCATTCACGACAACGGATACACGATGGTACGATTGGATGGATGTTTGAACGACAAATCACCTTACAAGACAGGTACGTTTTTTCTCTTCACTTTTGAGCACATTTTTTGTACATAACATTAATAATATTTCTAATTTTCAGCCGCTGATGCTAAGACTTTCGTTGGAGACAAGTTCTCGTTTGGCACTGCTGGCTACAAGCAAGGTCAAACCCCGTCGTCAGCAGATACTAGTGAAGTCTCAACCACCGTCGAAGGTGAAAGCAAGAAGACTAGTTCTTCATCTACCATTACTGGATCCATGGCTCTTATTTCCCTTACTTCCTTGGCCGCGTTTGTCTTTGGCCGTCTTTAGACCATAAACAAGTTGCAAAAAATAATTCATACTGTCTAATTTAGCGGAGGTAGAAGACCGAACGCTACAATTTCATTATACGAGACGTGGATCCTGGATTGTCACACCCTCCCACCCCTTCAATTGTTGTTTATCAGTGATCGAGAGATGATAGAGTTTATTGATGATCAAATAATAATTACTCTCGAAATAAACTCAAAAGATGTGAACACAACCCCACTTGACGAAGTATACATGGCTTTTCAAAATAATTTGCGCCCATTTCCATTTGCGCCCCCTGACATACATTTGTGAAAAGTTAAAAAATATTATACAAAACTTAAGAACCCGGTGGAGGAAGCGCTTTTGAAGGCGATAAAAGACGCATGTGGAATTGGCCGTATTGAGAGTAACATGTAACGCGCAAAGACCGCTAGCATTGATACTTACAGAGTTTACATCCGATATCTTCTCAATAACTTGAGCACTCATCGTCGAAATATGTCACCGTTGTCAGCTTCATGAGCTGGAAAAGATCAGAGCTGTTGACAAATATTTTACCACAATGTCTGAATATTTCAAAATTGTAGCACAGAGTGATACGAATGCCAGCAAAAATGTGGACTGGATAGTTCCATAGGTATGGACGGGTGACGGCCGCTCAGCAACGGCCTACGACCTCATCTGACAACCTCAACATCATCGCTGCAACGAATTCAGTTACTCTCCTATGAGAGGTTCAGATATTTTTACGCTAGTCGGTAGGACACTTCTCATTTTTTAAAACACTACATCAAAATTATCCCCAATTATTCACAAACCATCAGTACTCAAAAATTGAAGCTTGAAGCAAGGTGACTGCTTTCGCACAACGACGCTCTCTTTTTTTTTTTTTTGACCTGTCCACTACCTACCTACCTGCAATTTCGGTCCTGTCTGATAAATAATTCGCAATGGCTACGGTACCCAGTTATGCTGGAGAATGGTCTTCATTAGAGGTACCCCTAACCGGATCAACGTAAGATTAATTAGCCACTTTTAACCAACATTGATACTTTCCAATCGCTAAACTGAATCTCGGCTTGTGTAGCAAGGAGACTTTGGACGCAATGGGCTTTACGCAAATGACACCCGTCCAAGCTGCCGCCATTCCACTGTTTATGAAGAACAAGGATGTTGTTGTTGAGGTATGTAGGATACATAGACCGATAAGTCAATCTATTAGACATTAATTTATACCGTACAGGCTGTCACTGGATCAGGAAAGACTCTTTCATTTGTCATCCCAGTGATTGAGAAACTCATGCGCAGAGAGTATATTCTAAAGAACAATGAAATTGGTGCAGTCATCATCACCCCGACTAGAGAACTCGCAACCCAAATCAATACAGTGTTCGAAATTTTCATCAAGGATCACCCGAAAAAAAAGCAATTGTCGCATGCTCTCTACATTGGCGGTACCACCACATTGGCGGAGGACGTTGCGAACTTCAAAACAGAACATCCTAGGATCTTGATTGGAACGCCTGGGAGATTAGAGGAGATGTTGACAAAGACCGCAAAGTTGATCAACACCAAGGAGTTGGAAATGCTGGTGTTGGATGAAGCAGATCGATTATTGGATATGGGATTTTCACAACAGCTTTCATCCATTATTGCCAACCTTCCCAAGCAGCGTCGAACGGGACTTTTCTCAGCCACCATGACAGATGCCATTACAGAACTTGTACGTGCTGGATTGCGCAATCCTGTACGTGTGGTTGTCAAAGTTGAGGATTTAGAGAACCAAGGCAAAGAGCAGCGTACACCAGCCAGTCTCAAGATTAACTACCTTGTATGTGATCCCGATCAGAAAATGGCTCAAGTTGTTCGACTACTTTTGAAAGAATTGGATGACTTTAGTTATGGAGCCAAGAAATTCATCATCTATTTTGCCACTTGCGCTTCGGTTGATTACTTTTACAAGATTATGTCCAAGCTCACCCAGCTCAAGCCATTCTCAATCCACTCACTACACGGACAAATGGACACCAAGCGCCGAACTGCAACATACTCATCATTTGTCGGCCTACCGGCTGCAACGCCCGCCTTGTTGCTTTGTACAGATGTTGCTTCGCGTGGACTGGATATTCCTGATGTCGACTATGTTGTTCAATTCGACCCACCGCAGGACCCTAAAGCATTTTCTCATCGTTGTGGACGCACAGCTAGAGCGGGGCGAAATGGCAAAGCTACTGTGTTCTTGAATCGGGGCAGAGAAGAAGTGTATGTCGAGTTCCTCAAACTTCGCAAAATTCCCATGGAACCCGCACCGTATTTAATGAACGACTTGTCTGAACATCCCCAAGCAGCTCCACAAAACGATGACGAAAAGCCAATTACACCTGAGATACCTGATCCGTCAATACCCACGTTCATCCAGGAAATGCGACAGATCGTCAAGACAGACCGTGACCTGCACGATAAAAGCTTCAAAGCATTCACATCCTTCATTCGCGCTTACTCAAAGCACGATGCAAGCTATATTTTCCGAGTAAAGGATCTTGATCTGGGAAAGGCAGCCACGGGCTTTGGACTTTTGAGGGTTTGTATAACTGGTGTTTTGACTGAGCTACTTGTGTACAATTCTAATCGCTTGTTACCTTAGCTTCCAAAAATGCCAGAATTGAAGGGAAAGACCAATGTCGCTTTCGAGGAGGAGAATATAGATGTAAGTGTAAAGGTATTATCCATTGCTTTGATGGTACGAATGTTTTGCTGATAAACAATGGCTGCAGTGGGATAATTTCAAGTTCCTCGACAAAAGCAAAGAAGCGAAGCGAGTGAAGGAACTGGAAGAGTACAAGAAGTCAATTCCAGCGCCTAAGCAGGCAAAACCAAAGTATGTAGAATCACTCTAAGCTTACTTACTCTAAGAAGTGAAGGATACTAACAATAGGTCATTTCTTAGGGTCAAAGCGTGGTCTGATCAGACAGATGCCAAGGACCGCAAGCTGGAACGGAAATTAAAGAAAGAACGAAAGAGAGAATATTTGAAGCGACAGAGAGAGGAAGAAGCTAACAAGGAGAAGGAAGGCGGGATGAAGGATGACGAGGAAGATGATGATTGGGACGACCTTGCCAAAGAGGAACGTATGGCTAAAAAGCTCAAGAAGGGCAAGATCAATCAAATGGAGTTTGACGACGCAGTGTTTGGCGATGACGAGTAAAATACTCCACCTTAGAAGTCTGCACTGGCATAATTCTGTTTTTATACAATTGTATTATATCTCCAAGCGTTATTCTTTATTTACGGGTGTGAATAGATAGACAAAAGAACCCCCCAGGTACAATATTGTTACAAATTTCCTTTCCTGTGGTAGCGCTGCTTCAATCTTGTTTCTTGATGGCAAACTTCTGGCTCACACTGAGGACACGCTCAACGAGTTCATTGAACACAGCCTTTTGCTGTTCAGTAGCTTGAGTGGAGCTAGGGCTTCTATTGCATCCTTCAGGACCGCCTATAAACGCACATTGAGAAGTATGAGACGGAGTTTGTTGATGGGATCATGAGGTAGAATCGACTGCATATCTTACCGTTCTGCCACTGAAACTCATCAGTGAAAAATCCGAGTGAGATATCTCTTCCATAGATATCATCACTGCCTATTGGGTTCTCCAATGGGAGTTGCTTGAGTTGGCTATGAAGATCGCCCATGAGGGTGTGAATCTCTTGGCTGGAGGATGGTATAGTTAGGAATGTAGTTGATTTGGAAACAAACGATAACCTGTAATGAAAGACAACTTACGGAGTCACCTCACCACTCTGTTGGTTATAGTCGAATTTGCTTCCTGGCTTAAGGGTAGAGTGGGCAACCACAGCGCCATTGGAATCGCCAGAGATTTCAACGACCTGTCTAAAGCGAGGAGGATAAGGATGGGAGCGTTTGACGTAGATACGAACACGGAATGGCTACTTACTTTACAGTGGGACCAGCAAAACCTCCAACAATTCCTTCTCTGAGAAACACTTTGAAAACCATGGCAGTAGATGTGTATTGTACGAACAACAAACAAGACAAGATAAGAAGCAGTTGCTTCAACATTTGATGAACAAAACGTACACAGCAAACTCCGTCATTTCGGAGCTCTATTTGTATGGTCACGCCTCCAGCTCAAATTACGACATGTTTGATGTGCTAAAAGTACTATCGTAAGATGACTATGAGGGCGTACTGATTTCTTCTATCTTATCATCATAAATTCCATGCGTTACTCTGGTATGTCCAGAACTATGTGTATGATAGTATTTCCGGGATTACGTCCAACGGAAATCGTGGCGCTTGTACCAGTGAGAACTTTAAAGGTGCAGTCATTTCGCTGTCATTTGGGAAAGAAAATTGCTGAATATGCGCTTATGGGTAGTGCTGAACTTTGAAGTAAATCAAGGTCATTAGAGCATACGGTCTATCTTGGCATAACCGAGAGACTCTGGGCGATTCGTTCATTCGTTATACAGACTTTCATGTTGATAGACACTAAAAATCGTTCAAGTGTGGAATACATTATTCATCTTGTGACCTTCCAAATTAGAATCAGCGGAGAACACAGCTACTACCCGAGAGCTTGCCCACTGCTGTCTTTCATGTACAGAAGGTCTTGCGTCTACAGTAGTCGTTTGCTTAGAGCTCTCCAAACCACAGCAGGCTTGGAGACTGTTGCCTTGGAACTGTGAGCCATTGGTTGAATGAATCGAGACGTATATATGCTTGGCGAAACACCATAAAGAAGATGTACAATCACTTGCATACATAGTGTGGTTATTTTATTCTGTTATTTACAGAGGACGTAATAGTGTTGTCTACATTCTAATTCCAACATAACATTGGAAGGGCATGACCAAGTTTGGCTATACATTCTTTCAACCGTTATCTAAAACAGTTGCTGTCACTAGGCGATGGTATCACGGATCATTTCCATGATGTTTTCATACAGTTCTTTCCGTTTCTGAATGTCACCTGTATCCTTCAGTGCAATTCCAAGCACGACCGGTCGGCTTTCTCGTGGATTGCTAGTAGCGATGGCTCTGGATACAGACGCCGCATATAAGAGATAAAGATCTGAAAGTTCGGTTGCTGCAGAGTTCATAAGGAATTTGCTGGTTGTAGGTACAGTGCTTGGGCTGCGGGCTAGATTTGGCGGTATGTCAAATGTCGTATTTATCTTATGGAGAAATCGTTACTATGCGTGGTGTCTGCAAAATATAAAATCACATCATGTTGTCCTTACGAGACTACCAATACGGCCATACTGCGTTACGACCACGAAGATTTTGTCCTTGAATCCCGAGACAAGAACTTCGGTGTGAAGACCTTGAACGATCCTGGCCGCTTGCTTGTTGGTGACTGGAAATTTTTCGTTGTTGGAGGTCATGACAATAGTCTAGTTGTATGTAATTGGAAGAGATTTGGCGATCGTGATGCTTGGGAGAGGGATCTGGGTCGTGGTGATTTAAGCTTACGTGCGTGACTGGAAGAAATACGTACAGCTGCCCGCCTCTAATGTCTTTGCGATGAGGTGCACGTGATCAATAGACCCTCCAAAATTTAGAAAATTTCGAGACGAACACTCACAAAACCTTTAGAACCTGAAATGGCCAAATTCACTCAAATCATGGTGCTTTCTATAGGAACGCTAGCTGGTGCCGCAGTAGGCTTCTACGCATTAGAAGCATACAAAGTGAAAGAAAAGGTGAGTAGTCAAGTACATATTTCGAGATTCGCCCCATCTTGCAAACTAAACAGAGTGTATCTGTCATAGGAAAAACGCTTGGGTATACTATTGGAACGTAAACGACAGCATGAACAGTTATTAGCATCAAATCCCACTCCATCGTCGTCTTCATCATAACTCTCGTAGCATATTCCGACTAGAAATCATGTTAAAAAATTGTACTATAAATACCAGCGTGATGGGATCGCCATTAGCGTGTCAGATATGCCGGACCTTGACAGCTTTTACCGTATGAGGGATGGAGCTTTGCCTGAATTTTCCCCCTTGCGGCTATTAATATAAGAATAGAACATTTTCCTCCAACTCTCCTGTATCTCTTTCCATCCTTTTCATCTTGCAATGTTGAAGCTCTGTCTGTTTGTCGTTGCCCTTCTCGTTACCCTGGCATCCGCCCACTCCAACTGTAAACTGTACCTGGCAAACTCCAGCAAGGAAACTGATGTTACTGGTGGCTCAAGTATGTAGTGCATCATAGCGTTCCTAGCCCTACAATTACTAATGCTGTTATTTAGAAGGTGGATGTTACGAGGTCGACCCCAGGATGAAGATTGCCACGATTAGTGCCGATTCTGCTGACGTTCACTTCAAGTTCCATTCAAACGCAAACTGTAAAGGTAGCACAGTATACACCGGTTCCACTAGTGACACTGTTATTACTGTTAGGAAATTCTCTGCTGGCTCTGTTCAATTGACCTGCCCTCGCAAGAGCCGTCGTTAAACGTTGATGAGAGTATGCTCTTCAGCAACTTTGATGCTCTATCTAAATTTACATCACGCAATGTACACAAGAAAAAATGTTCAAATAAAACTTTTTCAAATAAGGAAGCAATAATGATGATACGAATTGTGATGCAGCAGAAATATAATATGCCTAAACGGAAGGAAAAGGAACGCTCTAATTTACGAAATTACAATTTTACAGCCAGCAAATCAAAAGATTTCAAGGTCTTCGTACATATCCATCATCATTCTACCCCGCTCTCGTGCATCTCTATCATTTTCTTCTTGTGATTCACCTACTGCGGCCTTCTGTCGTTCTAGGCCGTCTCGTCGTTTACGCTCTCGACGTTGTTCTTTCGTTTCTAACTGATCTTTGGTCAATAGTTGTGACTGGACAGCCTGTTCGAATTTCTTCATGCGATCAATATTCTGATTGAACTTTTGATTAGACAGACGGAAAAGAACATAAAGGTACGCCGTATTGACGAGTAGATGGATTTTCTGAGTGACTGGGTTGACAGCCGCGACGGGAACGTCGAGTTTATGCGTGCTTCGAATGGCGAGCATGTGTCGAGTTTTGGATGGCGTTATGCCACTGTTCTGGTACCCAATCACGTTTGCCAAACCAAGCAGTTCGTGTGCCGCTTCAGCCGTTTCAGCTTCCACATGCAATATCTTTTAGTGGGACTTTCATTAATTTAGGTGGCATAACATTTTACGACAAGGCGTGCATAAACATACCAAAGGTTCAAACTTGAAGAAAACAAGCTGCTGATTTATAATGGCTTGGTCGTCCTCAATGGGTTCCATAGTCAAATCTGCGTACGAGTCTCCAAACAACAATTGCAACATCCACTTTTCCTTGTCATGAAGGTTGTCGGGTATCAAAACCGGATCATGGGTGACATAGAGCCATTTTCCTCCTTTTGTGGATTTGGAGGCTTCGGCTTCGGCCGCTGAGGTCTTCTTCTTCTCGTCTACGCCTTCGCAGTAGACTGCAACTCGGCCAGAACAACTGCTTGTTGTGTAAAACTGGGAGTGCTGATTGATAAGCCGCATGAGATCCAAAATTGGCGCATCGATGTACCCTTTAGGGGACTTGTCTGACCTATTGGGATTCATCTCCTCGACGAGCTCAGAGATGACTTTTTCTTTTCTCTCATGAAATGTAGACAATGACATTTTCAATGGTGAAGATTATGCTCTATTGTATTTTTTTGAAATAGCACTTGGAAAAAAAATTGCGCTGTTTCAATTCATTGGCGAGACAGTCCTCCTCAGGCTCAGCAACAACCTGTCATGCTTTTTGATGGTTTAGCGTTATGAATAACACAATGAATAATGCTGAACAAACGGTGATCACTGTTCTTTTTAATCTAATACAATTATCTATTCTTTTTTTGCAGGAGGAATGTGGCTCGAGTCACATCAGTAGATTGCAAGCAAACCACAAGTGAGGACGCCTGTGCACGACTTTGGTATTATGATTCAATGTAAAGAATTTGTTGCTGTTTTCGACTGACTGTCACATTCATTTGACTTCCCTACAATCATTTGCATCAATTGATTAAAAGGTTCAAGAAAGCGTGGGTTGCCACGTAGTCGTCAGCGATATTTCCATTCTGGACATTAGCCTTACTTTTTCTTAGTTCAGTTCCAATTTTGTTCAAACGTCCTTCGAAAAGTCGCTGTAATGATGCCATTCTGCATATTTTATATCCAATCCACATGCTTGGAGAAATGACCGGGAATCCTCTTTACTGATAACTACTTCCAAATATACTGTTTAAGCTTTATTTGGTCCGATGTGCCCGAAAACGAGTTGCTACACTGCATAGACAACGCGAAGTTGATCATAGATCCAAATTGACATTTGAAGGAAAGATCAATAATTATTTTTTGTTAGTAAGAGATAATGTGATTTAGACAACGCCTTGACAGAATCGACTCCTTCACCCATCATGTGAGTAAATACTCTCTTCACAATCTTTGTAGTTACTGGGTATCTTCTTTCAGCATACAAAATTATTCATCATAACCTTCTTTCTTTTCATTCTATTCCACTCCATTCAGTGTTTTATCTCAAATTCTGCTCAAAAGCGAGAAAATTCATGTTTGAGTTACGGCGCCAAATTGTAAGGAGCGACACAAAATCCATCGCACAGCAATTTTCGAAACGGCAAACAGTCACAGTCATTGAATTGACGACTTCCATTGGAGTTTTCCGGTGCTAAGCTACTCTTACAAATTCGTACTTCAGCATGGCCACGAACGAAGGTTGTAAAGCTCTTTATGTCGGTAATCTTGACTCTCGCGTTACAGACTACATGCTCTATGAGATCTTTTCCGTAGTTGGCCAAGTTGATAACGTTAAGATCATAATGGATCGCAACGTAAGTAAATCCTATACCCAATGACTAACCTCCATGGCGACTGTTTAACTTTACTCATTTCCTTCTAATTCACTCATACATAGTACCAACATGGTGGAATGAACTATGGCTTTGTTGAATTCGTCGATCACTTGTCGGCAGAGCAGGCTCTCCTTGCCATGAACGGAAGAAAGATCTTCAGTTCCGTAAGTATAGAATGATCTACTCAGAATGTACCTGGACGGACACATACTCATTGCATCTCGTCTCATACAGGAAATCCGAGTTAACTGGGCTGTACAGGGAGCAACGCAAAAGGAAGATACATCAAATCATTTCCATATATTCGTTGGAGACCTCTCTCCTGAAGTGGACGATTCAATTCTATCCAAAGCATTTGGAGCTTTCGGTACTATGTCAGATGCTAGAGTAATGTGGGATCAGAACACTGGAAAATCACGCGGTTTTGGATTTGTATCATTCCGAGAAAAGGCTGATGCCGAACAAGCCATTTCCACTATGAACGGTGAATGGTTAGGTTCGCGTGCTATTCGCTGTAATTGGGCCAACCAAAAGGCGGCTGGAGCGACGGGTCCCTCTCCAGCTCAGAGTCTTTCTTACGAATCTGTTCTCGCACAAACCCCACCCCATCAAACTACAGTATACATTGGTAATTTGCCTCACGGTTTCCAACAACACGACCTTGCTCCTTATTTTCAGCCATATGGTTATGTGTCTGACATTCGTATGCAGGCCGAACGTGGATTCGCGTTTGTCACGTAAGTTGCGCGAATTTCGGGTTGGATAGACTCTGTTTTTTGTTAAGAAAAACGAACACTAACGTACCTTCTTAGCTTGGACTCTCATGAAAATGCGGCACACGCTATTGTTGCGTTGAATGGTGTGGACATTGGCGGTAGACCTGCCAGGGTAAGTGATATTATACATGTATTTATGCAGCCCAAACATGTGATTTAATCAAATCTCTACTTTGATCAGTTATCTTGGGGTAAAGATCGTGCTCCTGGTGGTGGAGCCGGGTACGGGGCTGGTGCCTATGGGTATGGTAGTGGCGGCGGCAGTGGAGGCGGATATCATCAACAAGCAAATCAAGGATGGCACCAACAGGGCTATACCCAAGCACCTGCCGCTGGTCCTGGAGCTAACGCAAATGGTCAATGGGATCAATATTACCAACAGTACTATGGACAGCAGCAGCAGCAGCAAGGCGGTGGTGGTTACCAATGACCGAATGTCTAGACAAACTCCCCTTTTATTTTCTCTGGCCATATCATTTCTTCTACACTTTGCTTTTTTTCCCGACCTTTTGATTTTCCCTGTACGAGCAATAAGCTAGAACCAAAAAGCTTTTAAAGGAAAGAAATGTATATTACAGTTCGGATTTGACGAAGGCGTCCAAAATCAAAAAGAAAAGAGCAACAGACATGCCCAAAATAGTTATTCCGAATGATTGTGTGTAAAAAAAAAAAAAAAGATGTGGCATATGGGAACGCTGGTTATTCCATTAGGCATCCCTTGCAAAGGCAATAGTATATGGCAAACTTTTTCATACTTTACGTTATGGGCTGCTGCTCAATCGACCGTTGAAAGCCGTCGATTGAGTTCGCTCCATCATCACTGGATCAGTATAGGACTGTTGAGCAGGCTGGCTGACCGACTGTTGTTGCATATACAAATCAGTCATGTAACGGTGCTGTTCCATGATGGACAAATATCTATCATATTCCCTTTGCAGACCGTCATCCGCAATCTAAACGTAGCCAAGTTAGTCAACATACATGCCTCAAACGGTGGGTTGATGACGAATATCATTACCCGTTGTCTTGCTTCTTCATACTCTCGGTCCTCGTCTGTGGTGTCCATCACATTCAGTCCTCTCCGTTGTTGAGCTGCAATGAAGCGTTGTTCATGAGGCAAAGAGTCTATTGACTTTCGTCGGAACTCCTATGGTAGTCATGCATCAGAAAACATGAATAAACCACTGTAAAACATGGATAAATGGTAAATAGCATACAGTTTTCCATTTTTCAGCGTCGAACTTGCATACTGGAGCATGGTGAGAGTGTCGTCTTGGCGGTGGCGAGTGTTGATCTTTGTCTCCTTTTCGATGACGGTGATGATCAATTGTATAGGTGTTCTCGGGTGTGGAGTGCTGTCTATTGGCAGAAGACATGACTACGTCTTGCCGTGCTAAAGGATGTTGGTTGGAAGTCATTAAAGAAACGGTGCGTGCCAAGGAAAGCAACACGAAGAAAGATTTAAACTGTGGGGTGATTAATGCAGTTTGAGACCAACGTCCGTTCACATGACAGATCAAATTTCTTGAACATTTCAAAAATATTTTTATGATAAAAATTAAACAATATTCTCAAATTCACTTATTCTTGCCTTCGATGATATTGACAAGCCTAGGGAAAGAAACATGTCAGATCCACTGTCAGCATCCAAACATACTTCCATGAATGATGGAGTTGAGCCACTTACCAGTCTAAACCTTCATTCAATCCAACACCATTCACTGCACTAGTTGTGAAAATAGACCATTGTCGATTTTTCAAGGTCGATAATCCGAGTGCCTCAGACACTTCTGCTGCGTTCATGGCACCTTGCATATCCTGCTTATTGGCAAACACCAATAATGCAGCATCCTTCAGTTCCTCCTCCTCTAGCATGGAATGTAACTCCTCCTTGGATGTCTCTACTCTGTCTTTATCCGCACTGTCGACTACATATATGACTGCATCTGTGTTGGCATAGTAACAGCGCCAGTAGGGCCTGCACGTGCGATATCGGTTTGAGTGAGTGAGTGGCAGTAATGACTGTGCCATACGAATGCCTGCCTTACCGTATGCTAGTTTGACCGCCAAGATCCCAAACTTGGAACTTTATATTTTTATATGACACCGTCTCAACATTAAATCCAATGGCTGTAGATTGAAAAGAAGGATGAGGGATTAGTTCTATGGTCTGCATCGGTCATCAAGGTCCTAAATGCGGAACTTACTTGGAATGGTAGTAACGACTTCTCCAATCTGAACATAGGATCAGGGTCATCAGTACATTGAGGGTTACTGGCAGAATTTGTAGTTCATGTAACATCTACCTGAAGTCTGTACAAAATAGTGGTTTTGCCAGCGCCATCGAGACCCAAAATCAGGATTCGAACTTCTTTCTCTCCCCAGAGTCTTCCAAACAGGCTACTAAATAAGCCGCCTAAACAGAGGAATGATCGTTTAGCAAAGTGGATCCTGGCATGCACTGGTATGAAATGTACTGACCCATTATTATAATATAGTGGTGTACACAAAAGAACACCCAGACGAGAGCCTTAAAGTCTTACTTTCCATTCCCAAAATGTCCGACGTCATCATGCCCTATTCCTTTGATGACCCCACCAAAGCTTACAAACTTCTCGCTATCATATGACTGTGAGCAACGTATCCACCTTGCCTTAGTGACAACCCATTTCTCTTTCTACTACGTTTCAAGCCTTTGGCTATGACTCCTATCCGCTCATTTTCCATACCGATCAGAGGCGCATGTGGTGTGTACTTTTGACTTTGGGTGAAAATAGGTAACACTTCGGAAGACATGCGAGATGCATAATGTGTTCTCGATTGATTTGAAACTTGGATACCATAATTCAGAGTTCTGTGAAAGCCAGGAACTTGCATTCATTGGCCTGAGCGCACAGGGCAAAATTTAGTATGTCTGGAAAATTCCTTAGGGTGTTTGCGAGTGGTTTGTGTATATGCCCTTAAAAAGTCTACGATACACGCCAGTGTCATGTAAATTGGTATGTCTTGCAAGCGTTAACTGCTGTCAATGAGGTCGGTCTGCTTCAACTGGCTGGTCTTGTGACTGTGTTCGTCTTTTTTTCTCCTCTTCGATTTTTTTTTTTTTGGCATGCAAAGAAAACCTATAGATCACCTACACCATGCCAGCCACGGAACCTACCGCCAAGGCAGAGAAACGTACCAACTCACAAAAGACTGATTCCAGCACAGTCACTGCACCGGTTGCAAAGAAACGAAAGCTGACTCCAGCCGAGGCGCTCATTAAATCTATGACGGCCAGAAAGGCGATCGCTTCACTAAAAAAACCCACTGGAACTCATGTCACGTTCGGCGACAATGCCGAGGTGATCGAGAAGAAAGTGGCTGCTGCTATACCGGAAGAAAGTCAAAAGAAGAAGAGTAAGAAGCAGAAGAAAAGACCTAGTAGCGAAGTATCGGCAACGACGTCCACGGCTTCGATATTCCAAAATGGCAGCACAGGGTCTATTCTACCCACTAATCCAGGTAGGCAGTGCAGTGAATTGAGTTGAGGATGAGCGAAAATATTAACAGTCATCATTAAATTCTTTGTTCATAGCAATTGACTATTTGCGGACATGGAAGTCAGATCGATCAGAGTGGAAGTTTCAAAAGGTGCGACAAATTTGGCTACTGGCTAATATGTACGATGAAGTGAAGGTAAGGCTACGATTGGATGGAGAAAAGGGAAAGCTTGAACTCAATTAACCCTGTGCAACACCATGTTTATTTTTTTTTCATTGTGCAGATAAGCGATGAAGATTTTGCGATTTTATTGGAATACGTGCAGGATTTGAAAGGGAAAGCGAGACAGGTAAGAATTATGGTTGTTTATGGTCAGGCAGCTCTGTGTGTCTTACCTCCTAGCTTTGCAGGTTACAATTGAAGAGGCCACCCAAATCCACCAACAATACCCCGATCAGGATGACTCTGAGTCTGAAACAGACCAGCGAACAGGTGGTGTGGAGGAGGATGACGACGAATTTGATGCTGAAAAGATGATGGCTAAGGCTCAAAAGCAGGCGCAGAGTGCCAAGGCGCAAGAGCAAAAGCAGGAACACCAAGTGGCCAAAAGGAAGGCTCAAAGAGCGATGGAGATATTGCGAACCTTGTCATAAGCGCCGCCCCAGTCCTACATACCACAGCAGCCAACAAGCAATAGAGAGTGTAATAAAAAAAATGCCATTTGATACGATGACGCTACTACGTAAACAATAAGGGGATTTCAACTGAATCCAAACCACACAAAGATTGGTTTTTTTATTTTTAAACCCCCCATTTTGGGTGGAAACCTGCCTCAACCAATGCCACACGTGGCTCAACGGCGGAAGAAGCAAGCTATATCGATAAAAGATATTCTTGGTAGATTTTGGTTTGAGATACGCTCATAAACAGTTGGTTTCGGTATAGCTATTCAACGGAGTCAAAAGAGGGGTAAATAGAAAAGAAGGTCATACGAGAGCTCATAGATTGAATTTTGGCTGGCTGGCTGGCTGGCAATTATAGAGCTACTCATAGCGTGTGTCGCAGAACAAACAGTGATTATACTTTCTGGTTCTTTCTCTTGCTGCCCTCCTTCTTCCTTTTCTCTCTTTCTTCTCTTTCTTATTGTTTTATTGTGCCCGCTGGAAAATTGATAGTGCTCTTCTTCTACTACTTATTGACCTCAAGTCTCTTATCTCGTTTGCCTCAAGAAATCCATGACCGCCACCACCGAACACTTTATATTGCAGGATCTGAACGATCCAAGCAGAACTGACATGGACATGACCCTCCATACCGATGCCTGCATGTGCTGTCAGCCTACCACAGCGCAGCAGAGTGCCAAGAGCTTTGCACTGTGCAAACAATGCAAAATGGACCTTGCCTACACCCAACAGGCCTACCTCTTTTACACGCAATCGCCCATCCATCACACCCTTTCTAACGCTACTATCACCTACGACTCTATGTACAAGGACGTCCATGAATTTGTTAAACGTGATGTGTTCCTGGCACCAGCACCACCAGCGGCGGCGGAGAGTGATAGCGATTATGAAACGGTCTCAACTCCGATAATGGTGCAACAAGAAGATCCAGCTTTCCTTTTAGAGGAGGCGCACAGCCTATTTGGAGTTGACGGCTTATTGTCGCAAAAATTACACAAACACTCGACGATTGCGAAGGATAATAACAAGCAGAACCTCTTGGAAGACTTGCCGACGCCTCCTGCCGCCATGTCGGATTCGGAGGATGCAGAATCCTACATGGTGTGTAGGAAACGGAAGCGTTCTGAACCCAACTTAGTGTCTCGAGTTGATACTCCTCCCACATCACCTATTTTCGTTACTGTATCAGACCCTTCAGATCAAGATCACCTTGGGTAAGATAGGAGCTATGAAAAGTTGGGCAGCACATAAACTAAAAAAAAAAGTTCTAAACTTAGTGACAAGCGTCCTAAATGCGACGAAGACCAATCAGAGGCTCGTTCACCCTCGCCATCGGCTTTTTCATGGTCCAGCAGCAGACGAAATTCATGGAGCTCAGCCTCTGAAGATGAACCTGATCAGGGCGAAAACAACAAGTCCACCATCTTTGAACAATTTACGGAAGCTGAAGTGGATTGGTGTCGCTACTGTGGAACGACGGAAGGCGTCAACTGGCGACCAGGTCCATGGGGCAAGCGCACATTATGCAAGTAAGTTGGGTTTATTTTTATGGCTCCGAATACACCCACTCTTTAGAAACTGTGTTCTGAACTCTAAATATTATTATTATTATTCCCAATAGTAAACATGGCTGTGACTATAAAGGTTACGGTTTTGCTTGCAAACTACCTCGATTGAACTTGACTGAATTCGAACATGAGTCAGTCAACGATAGAGTGATACCTGTACTGCAACTCTTTTGCTCATCTTGTCAGGAGCGGGAGCATCAAGGAAACACAATGCGATGTGCAGGGTGTCCGCGGGCTTTTCACAGTGGCTGTTTGGAGGCAGGTATGAAATGGACTCGTGGTGTTTGGTACTGTACAAACACTTGTCAAGAAAGCAGTCAAGCTCGAAGGATTGTCGTTGACTTACCAAGGAAACGGTTACCACTGATGTCTACACCCAAGAACGCAAAACAATCAGATCAGGATCTTAATGCAGTACGGCAGTAAAAAGCGAAAATCCCCCTCTCCGTCATCAACCACCACAAAAAAGCTCAAGTATAACGATAATATCTCAAACTCCCTCATTCTCCTATATTTTTCTTTTCCCTTCCCCTTATATATATTATTATTCTTCCCTTTCCCCCCTCATCTGTAATTCAAAATTGTATTCTCTACGTCTGCATTTCGTGTTTATGTCGATCTCCAAAGCAATTAATAGTCGCAAAAAAGTTATACCTATAGTATCATAGATATTGAATTTCTTACCAAATTGGAAACGTTACTCTAAAAAAAAATAACCAAACACCGCTTTAATGATGTTGGGAAAAACAAAAGTCCTAGTGTCCGCTTGGCTGGCTCCATTCTAACCTGTCTTTATGGGTGGCCATTCAGTCAGTGTTCGAAGTCCCTGCCCTGGACGAGTTGAGCCACCTACAGCTTCTGCACATGTCATAGTGCCATCCACAATGCCTACGTTAACAACTTGATCTTTATGTTATGGTATGCAAACCGACTTTGTTCTGTATCGCTGATCAAGTTTGTGTAATGTTCTTAACACCATTTTACGTCTTCTTTTTTACGCGCGTATGAGGCAATCGCATGGATAAGATGCATATATAGTGAATGCTTGTACTCCTGGGTACGGTGGTGTCGTATGTCTTGGTCTTTTCCTCCTCAATAGACATAATAGCGTCCCGCTAATAACCCTAAATGTTAGAGGTCTACTGAATCGGTGGTCTCCCGTAAAACGGGTCTGCATATGGCGTTGTTCATTCAACATGAATGGTACTTGACCGTCAACAAAAGGAATAGAAAAAGCCTAACAGTGACAAGGCATGCTTAAACCTTCAAAGTCTATTCTCTACTGGCTTTTTCCCTAACCCTGCACATTTTTATAAATAACGACTTGACAGAGTGTGCCCCGTTGCGTCTGTGCCAACTGCTACACCCCACGTGTGGCATGCAACTCATTTACATGGAACAACTGATTTTATTTTTTTCAGTCGCGGAATTTCATCGTCCACACTACTTGTGACCTTTTCTCCTACCTTGTTCTTCATATATGGCTACGTTCAGTGACGAATCATTTTCAAAGTTTGCCGAGGAGTACATCAATAGCGATCTATCACCATGGACATTTTTCGTGGAAGCGACTAATTTCAAGATCTATCGACGTCGGTTTGAACCAAAACCTGCCTTGTTTGAATATCGAGTCATAGGAGGCTATCCTGATATACCAGCCAAAGTCCTCACCAAGGTCTACCTGGACCTTGACTTTCGGCAAAAATGGGATAAGAATATGCTCTGCTACAAGGAGTTGGGATCGAAAGAGGTGTTGCACTTTGTCATGAAATACCCATGGCCTCTCAGCAACCGTGACTATGTGTACCAGATGAAGTTGAAGACACTTCAAGCTGCTCAAGATCGGACATTGCTCGTCATCCAAGGTGACTCGGTCCAGTCCTACCAGGTACCAGTGTTCGAACCCCCAAGCAACGGAGTCATCCGTATTGACAACTACCGTCAGAATATCGTCATCGAGGACGATGGGAAGGGAGGAAGCTTAGTGCAGGTAAAGTCCAAGGCTTAAAAAATCCGCCACCTATCATAAAAGGAAATAACCATTCAATTCTCGTTTCAGTTGGACTATTTTGATGACCCTAAGGTAGATCTCAGCCTTACCTATTTGACATGATCATCGCTTCCAACTAACTTTGCCTCTTACTATGATCAGGGAAATATACCAAACAGTGTCATCAACTGGGCAGCAAAGCAAGGTGTTCCTGGCTTCATGAAAACTCTCCATGACGCCTGCATTTCATACATGAAAGCCCATCCCGAGACCGCCGACCAAGAATTGGACGCCGAACAACCAGTAGAGGAAAACGGATTGCCAAAGTAGATAGAGTAGACTGAGCTGCCAAAAACATGTACATTTTGAGTGCAATCGCCATGTAACGATGGAAAGTCTTGGTCAAAAGCATCGTTCTATCCCAACAACATACGCACTTTTTCTGCATCAATTTTCTACTAGGAGCTCAATAAAGACTTTTTGCGCCAGTGGCATTGGAAACTGGCTATTGAGGAGACTTGCTGGTTGGTCTTGATGAAAAGACCATTTTGACCGCCGTATGAATAATGCATCTCTCATCACGCTTAAACCACAAAAGCCAGTTATGCCTATTGGCATTTTTTTTATTGGTAGTAACAGCCTGCGTGGTCTGCTATCATACAATGCAGAGCGAATGTGTTACAATGACAAGGGTTGCAACTATACGAGAATCAACATTGCATCTATTGACGTTGAAAAATTGGGAACAAAAAAGTACGCATAATGACAATTTCTCATTCGTGTACATGTAGTGGCGTAGGAGTGGTTGGTCTTGTGATGGGTCGCTTTGAAGGTCGAGCTTGAAACAACGTAAATGGGAAGGCTTGAGGAAAGCACTGAACCGGTGCCAAATTCTCATCGTATTCTTCAGGTGTATTCCATTTGGAAACGAAGCAGCCACAGGGTGCAGCAGGATCATCCCTGTGCGTTCGCATATGCTTGGTTTCTACTGAAGATTCCGCCATGGTGAATGTCGAGATTAAGGAAAAACGTCAAACAGTGCCGCCGGACATCTTTTTTTGACATTCATCCCCCTGTGTAGGAGCGTGTCTGTGCATAAATCTCTCATAGCTCTTACCAACTTTTTTTTTTTCAAGTCCGGTTGAACCTGAATTCATTATACTCCAAAGCAATTATGCCTACCTTCAAGTTGTACTATTTCATGTCTTCCATTCATCAATGCTTTTATTCACCATTGTGACGTTATACTTACGGTTATGGGAGTTGCCATGCAGATGACTCCATATCAGGCAACATTTCACCTTTTCGCAATTAATATCTTGTTCACCACCCGATGTTTTATTTCATCTATCATTTTTGAAATAAACGAGGCATTGACAATTAGAAAATTCACTAATTGCTCTCTATAAGGGGAAGGAAAGAATGTCCACAGCAAGAACATGATTTTTTGCATGAGCAATGCGGCTTTGAAAAAACGTATTCGAGGATGATGCAAATCCATTATTAAATCACCATGGTATCTTCGTCGTTGTTGAATAGAGAGGTTTATGACTCAGCAGCTTGTACCAATATGAAAGTAGCACAAAACATTCAAAGTGATGAGGTTATAGGTTTGCCTGTCTGTACTTTGATGGATTCTCAAGTAAAACGAAGGCACACCGACACGTTTGTCCTGATCAAACCTCCTCCTGCTGCTGCCCGCACGCCACAGCTGAGGACGCGTCATTCGATTCAACTTCCAACAAGAAAGCCAGCAGCCCCTGACACACTTCCTCTCATCTCGCTAGATGATTTTTTAAAAACCTCCCCTTCCATCGCTGACTCCTCCATTCATCACTCCATTTACGAACACATGGCTGAGCCAACAGAATTTATAAGAATAGAACGGGATTATTCTCTTGGCGACGGCATCACGAAATTCTCATTAGAATATCCGCAGGAACTCCACGGCAAGGTATTTAATTACCCCCCATGCTAACTCGCCGCTGATTCCATTTCGTTGAATCCACCTTACTAAAAAAAAAATATTAGATCACTGAAGAACAGCTGCGATACACCGTTATGACCATCAACGATATTATGCACAACGCTGAGCGTTTATCCAATAATGTCTTCGATAATGTCATGGAGATATTGACCATATACCTTTGGCCAATGTTCTTCTCCACTCACTACCAGCGGGTGAGTTCTGCAACGACAGTCCTAGCACTTTAATCCAATGTACCCATGACTTACTGTCCTTCTTTCTAGTCTGTCAAGCGGTTAATGAGCTTTATAGACGACGAAAATAAGAATGTCTATAACAAGCATGGCCTAACCATCGCTAACCCTATCAAAAGTGCCTTCCTCTTTGTAAGTTCCCTCCACCGTGTCTGATCTGATCCGCCAGCAATTTTAACACCTCCCTCTTTTTTTTTTTTGTTGGGTTGAAGCTGGAGCTGCGACCATCGTCATCATAGTACCTACCATACCAGCCTTTCTACCTTACTCTAGCTACTATCCACATTTCCGTCTCGTTCTTTACTACCACCTCGCTATACATGCACTCAACTACTTGTACTTTTTCGATTCGTTTCATCACTACATACAACCATATCAATGGACACATATAATCAATTATTACAAACCAAACCAAACCAAGAAAAACAATGTACACGCAAGGAAAAAAAAAAAAGTTGCGGGGGGTATATGCTGTGCGAAGCGAAGAACGCATTAGATAAAATCAAACAGGTACTTGTCGATTTCAAATCGGACACTTCGAGCAACACCGCGGATGAAGTCGAATGATACATTGCACTTGTACTTTGCTCCATCCAATTTGTCCATATTCGTAGTTCGAAGCAGCAAGCGCAGCGTTGTTAAACTTGTGATCTAGCAGTTGAATTGTATGGTGAGAAGGATGGAACCAGCACAATGGATGTGGACGCAGCGGGCTCTTTACCTGAACAGGAATATCAATGGCATCATCCAGTTTATCGTCAATGATACTGTAGAAAATTGCCAGCATACGTTCTACAGGGAAGGCTTTTGGACCCAATAGTTGTTGTCTCATCTACAATTTGAGTTCAATTCAACGGCTCACATCGACGCTCATTTGAATATGTGGACTTTTTACCTTTCCTCCACTCTTGTCGGACGCTGATTTATGGATACCTCTCTTTTTCTTTTTCTTTTCATCCGCGACCTTTGCAAAGTACCGTACATCGAACCTAGGCGGATTATAAGATGCAAGGTACGATGCTATAAGCAAAAACTTGGTATAATACGGTAGATCAAAATCGCCTGAACAATACGTTAATGGTCATGCTTGGGTCAGGCTGGCATTCTTCATCTCTACCTACCTTTTGCATTCGTCCGTATAGCAGCTATCACGGATGCGTCCACTGTATGAGATGTTGTAGTTTTTGCATCTGCCATTTCCGACGTTCGCTTGGCCCATTCTGAACTGGAGATTTCACGCAGATACAGCTTATCGGTTGCTTCGGCAAAGTATGGTTGTGCCAATTTGAAAAGCTTGGCCGTCTCATGAGTTTTAGCTGCAATGATGGTAAGAAGCTGTTTGTATTGGTGTAGTCCACTTTAAGACTGACGTACCTCTTCCATCGCGTATTGGGTTGATAAACAGAGGAAATAAAAGAGCAACAAGGTGTCTAAGCTCATTCAGATCCTTGCAATTTTGAAAAAAGATCGAATAGATCACCTCGGAAAAGGATCGGAAAAAGTCGTCGTTCAAATGCACGGTCCCCTTGTCCTCAACCTCGATGTCCATTCCATCTTCTGAGAAATCACGACGTAAGATCTGCAACGTATCCTCCTTGGAATACTCGGGAAATCGAATGACGAGTGGTTCATACGACCCAGATTTAGTTCGAAACTTTTCGTAAACAATAGTTGAGAGTAGTATGACACAGATATTGCGTTGTGACTATTGAATGATATGAGTAGGTTTTACATCTCGACAGCAGTAACGTAAATCCACTTACAATTTCAGAAAGCCGAAGTAACGCAGGTAAGATCGTAGCTCCCATATCTCGTAAACGCTCGGCACGATCAAGTACCTTGCAGGGTAATAAATGGTGAGCCCGATCGCGAAGCGCAATGTGTCCTTAAGCTTAGGTCCTCACTTACCAGGTATCGAGTTTCTTTGTCGCCGATCATTTCCGTACTATGCTGATTGAGAGGCACTCCTTCCTTCAAAACACATAAAAAATCGTTCAAGTTGTCGATGCGAGCAATTGAGGTGAACTGGTTATCCCACGATGGCGACCAACTACACCATTCATTCACAGCGTGTTCGAACATCATTCGAGGGGTGTGACGTTCGATGCAATTGATATAAGCCCATTGTTTCCGTGCGATGGTTGTAGATAGTAAATCACGAACAAGACTGGTTTTTCCAGACGATGAGTGGCCGTATATCAAGATAGAAGGTACAGTTGGATCGGCCGGCTGGCGATGGAAGTGTTAAAGGACTTGAAGTGTGTGACCAGTGTAGCAAGACGCAGCCTTACCCTTCCCATTAGACTCAGCAGAGTATCTATCTGATCAGAACGACCAGGAAATCGCCGCTTTAGTTCTGCACTATGGTCGGCCATGTCGTTCATACTAACAAAACACGTTTGGCAGCTTTTTTTTTTTTTTGGCTGCTGTAGTGCCTGAAAGTCGGGCATTTCAGTGTTGAAATTCCAATTTTTGATGGGTCACGTGCTCAAGTGCTGCGATACAAACATCGCGGTTGACTCGCTCTTCCTACATCACCCACTCAACTCGGTATGTCCACATCGACATTGATCCAACGCTTTACACCTCACAGCGAACTAATCACTCATACCGGATCTTTCTCAATTATAGGTAATCGCAACTATGTCGGCAAAAACTGCGACCCCAGAACTTAAAAAGTAGAGTTTTTGATTCAAATTGCATCTCGATCACCAAAATTTTGTTGAGCAGCCTGATACTGATACGTCGACGTTACTTTGCAGATATATGGACAAACGTCTTTCCTTGCAACTCAATGGATCCAGAAGAGTCACTGGAATCTTGCGAGGTTACGATCCTTTCATGAACGTTGTATTGGACGATACCATTGAAGAAGTCAGTGCCACTGAAAAGCATAACATCGGCATGGTGGTAAGCAGCTTTATCCCAATCGCAGTCCAGTTATTGTCAATTTTACTGATGTTGGTTACGATTTCCTTTAGGTCATCCGTGGTAATAGCATTGTCATCCTGGAAGCACTGGAGCGTATCTCATAAACGCTTTAACATCAAAAATAAAACGCCCTCATGTTGTAGATATTTCCTGTCTCCCAAATATTAAAAACATCGTTTCTTATTATTTTCTTATAACAAAGCTTGTGGATGAAAGTTTTCCATGGTGAACGACGTTGTGCTTGCCAGTCACGTCGGTCGTGTCGTGGATGGAAATTTTTCTTTTGCTCTTGTCTGAAAGTCTGGTCAAATTTATCTGCCCTACCCTTCTGTTATTGTTCATGTCTGTTGTTCACTTGCTTTAATGAGTCCTGAACTTCGAAATCGCAATATTCCTAGTGGGCCTGTTGTGGAATCTGAGCAGATTCATTCAGATTCACCGGTCACTTCCGCGCAAGAACCGCAATCCACCCCAAAACGAAGAGGTCGCCCTCCGTCAAAGAACAAGAACACCAATGTAGAACCACCCGCGAGTACACCGCCAGCTGCAGAGGAAATCATGCCAGCGGACGACGCAATGCAGCTGGATGAATTTGCGGAGTCGTCAGGCTCAGCAACCGTAACATACACCAATATGGCTCCAATGGAAGTAATCGACTCGTTGCGCGCACATGTTTCGCCCACTTTGCCACCTACACCGTCTGCCGGGAACACGCCAAACACCTCTGATAATGAAATGGCTGATAGTCCAGCCATTGAGCCTCCAAAGAAAAAGAGAGGTCGCCTGGTCAAGGGCTCTGTTCGTCATGCGGCACAACTTCCTCTCCCACCTACTCCTTTCAAATGTGGCAATGATGGATCACAGGCGGGAGAAACGTTGTTTTTCACGCAAAAGGAATTCAACGATCGATCCATCTATAATCTTCAAAAGCCATTCGAAATGTTTAAGATGGCTTCGGAGCCCACTTCGGCTAAAGCTCAGTCGGCTGCTACAACGCCTAAAACTGTGGCTACACCAAGCCCAAGACCAGAAGGAGAGGCTCCAGATGTACTTGGTGGTCTTCTCACTTCTATATCCGCACAAAGTGAAGCTCGGTTAGATTTGAAATCTAGATCAAAAAATGTGTCGGATTCTGTGCCGCTAGATTATAGTGCAAACACACCTTCAAGTGAAAGAGGCCATTCAGAACATATGGACGATCTGACTATTGCAGCAGTATCAGCGGGTGTGCCACTTGTTGGGTCAGGAGAGCGCTCTCAGGCCAAATACCCTAGGATGTCAAGATTCAGCAGAGAGGAACATCTCAAGTACATGCAGACTAGCGAGTTATTACGATCAAATGTAGGTAAATGGAGATATAGTGCCATGAATGTTCAGACAATTTACTCATCATTTGGCTACAGCCTTCCCTCGTTTCTGGTGAAGACAGGTCCGCTCACGGAAAAATGAGTCGGGAAGTTGAGGAAGAGAAGAAAGAATTTTTGCAATGGCAGTTATCTCAAATACGCGACAGTGATGCCATGAACAAGGTAGATGCCAATATATCACGCATCTTGGATCAACATTACGCTTTGGAGCGCGAGAGAGTGGCTAGTTATCCGGTGAGTAGTTGGACGATACAGGTTGCTATCTAGCCACGAGAATCAGTGTATACTCATAACTCTATAGGCCACCTATGAATTCCAAAACAGTGTCAGTGTTTTTGCCAAAGTATTGAGAGGACAAGAACCCATTCTGGTTCATAAAAATCTTTTGAAGCGACAAGGAAGCTTATTCCGATGCGAATTTCCATCAAAGCTACCCATGGCCATCCCGTTCAAAGACACCTACTTCTCTTCTCGCAAAAAGGATGATAGAACTTACGTTAAGCAGGTACGTTGGTTTCTGTGCTGATATGTGACATGAATGTGGCCACCGTTAATGAATGCTCTGCTTTCTTCAACAGCCTGAGATTGCCATTGCGCAAGACTCCAATATACCCAAAATGGTCACTGACCATAACGTCCACGTTGTAGCCACCTCTAAAAGTCTCTCATCCATTGTTGCCTTAGAAAAAGACCGAGATTACGATTTGGATATTCCAATTCGAATTGTTGAACCCCATCCATCGGATACAACACAAGGTAAGTTGACTTGTCTTCACTTCCAATCTAAATTCAATCTATTAAACCAACCCCATGGATAGTCAAAACTGTATATATAGATGACCCATTTACGGAGCCAAGCATGAATAATCGGCAAAGAGCCGAGATCGTTTATGATGCGGTACTCAAAAGCATCACTTTGAACCAAAATCAAAAGCAATCCATAGACCACCAAGGTAAATCCATGTCGGAGGAAACAGCCCAAAAAACGGAGACAGGAGGTATGTGATGATGACGATGTGTCGTAGTGTGTTGGTCGTGCCTTATGTACATGAGGTAACGCTTATCTCATCGCATAGTTATCTCCCCGAATACTGTATCCCTAATGAAAGACACCGATCCAACCTTGGACACACATGGATCTGACGATTATGCTGTGAATGAAGCTAAACCTAGAGAACGCAATGATGATAATTCTATCTACAACCTGTGGACATTTGGTAATATCAATCTGCTAGTGCGATGGCATGCAGATGGATACATCGGCGAAAGTGAAAAGGTAAGGAAATGCCACACTCTTACTTTGCATGCATCGTGTCTCACACGTTCTGTATCACTACAGGCAAACCCTGGCACTGAGACTCGAATGGTTGTCCTGAAATCAAAGGTGGATTTCTATTTGCATATGGGATACAAGGAGACCATGACAGCTGGTGACCGTGCGAGGCAGTGGATGACATCGTTCCTGCAGGGACATGCACCCATCTACGAAGGACGAATTGATCCAACTACAAACAGTCTGGTCCGCATCGAACGAAGAGAAATGGTAGACATCATGGCCGATCGATGGTAAGAGCCCTTTTTACTGTATTTCGCAAAGATCCTCTCTGCTGATGCATTTATTCCCTAGGCGACCCGTTCAGGAGAGCGAAATGTTACGTCAATTGCTAATTAAGCTCAGGGGCTTAGATGTAGGCGACTATTTGCTTCGATACTCCAAAGGCAACTATAACCTGGATATTTGGAAGCACAACAGCGATGCCAGCAAAGGATATAACTTGCACCACCGGTACCGGGACATCAAGATTGACCCTGAGCCTGCCCACGTACCTGCCTGGAGTGGAAGCAAGGAACAAATACCGTTTACATTCCCAATTGCCGGCACAATTGGTAAGAAGCAACAACATAAGGCTGCACCTCGTCGTGGGTATCTGTAAAGTAGCGTAGAATAGAGTAAAGAGAAAGCATGTAATAATCCACCAGAAGAACCGTCTTCTGGGACTGCCTGTAAAATTTGTCTAAACGGTGTAATGAGCTTTCATTGGTAGCAAACTGGCTAATATCGGAGTAAAAGGACCAGCTCTCACCGACCATGGGGCCCGGTGCCGCCAAAAGAAATCGGCATCTTAATGTTGGACGGAACTCAAGCAAGCTATGTTCAGTAAGGCCAAATGGCCTTTGCAAATGTTGTGTCAAATTGCTAACCAACCAAACTGAGGCAAGCGTAGCAATAAAGCTAAAATTTTAATTAATGTGATTGGCGCGCTATGTCAAACGTGAGGAGAGCAAGCACTGGAACTCATAGTGAGTTGCTTCCTTTCACAAAGAAGTAGCTGGCAGACGTAGTCAAAGCATTGCTACCAACGACCATGACGTCTCACCGTACGACGCATGTTGAAAAAGCAGGGCTGCTGGGGAACCATAACGATCACATGTATATTGCAACGTCACCGTCCTCTAAATTGCGGGCAAATCAGATTTGACTGTCGATTTTCCTTTTTGACAATTTTTGCAAGTCAGATTCTCCTCAACGACATTCATTCCTTTCAGTCATTCATTCAAAACGTCCTTGATGGAAGTGGTCTATGCCATTCACAACTTCGAGGCCGAAAACCCGGACGAAATAGCCTTTCGAATAGGCGATCCCATCACCGTGATTGAAAAGGACGAAAAGTTCTTAGATGGATGGTGGCAGGTAAGTCCTACTCTGTACTCCCGATCCACAAAGCAATAAAGCAGCTAATCTCGTTTGGATATAGGGACGAAACACGAAGGGCGACATTGGCCTCTTTCCAATGAACTACACATCTTATGAAAGACCGCTTGATATGGATACCGCCCCTCATACTCCCCAACCTATGCGAAAAGACCTCTACGCCGACGACACCGATTTGGAGACGCAAATCGACCACGCTATCACCCAGATCAAAGTGCTTCCGTCGCCTGATATGTTTCCTCAAACACAATCCAGTCGCTCTACTCCCACCACATCCTCCTCCACTAAGAAAGCTTCCCTACGAAAAAAGAAAAAGAAGTCTCGTGCAGGCTCATTGACAAAATCTTCGTCTGCCTCACATCTCCCCACGCAAACCTCTATCTTCATGGTAGGCCGTTCATCCCCTGCGGAATGGAATGTTCAGCAGGTTGGCGAGTGGCTAACCATGGTCGGACTTGATTCGGTGGTTCCCAATTTTACAAGTAAGTTTTGCTTTGCTAAAGGGAGTGATTTAAAGGGTGATAGGAGTGAAATTATCGCTATCCCCCATATTACATTGGAAAAGGAGATATCTAAAAAAAAAAAAAAAATTTACCCTGTAGGCCAAGAAATCAGTGGAGACATTCTGATGGATTTAACCATTGATGCGCTCAAGGAACTCGATATAAATACGTACGGTAAACGATATAAAATCATGACAGCCATTTCAGCTTTAAAAGATGAGGTATCACGTCAAGAAGGTGGTGGTGGAAGCATTCACAGTCTTTCTGATGAAGATGTAAGTTCCACTGAACTCCATGATGAAACCCGGTCGAAGAATGGAATGATTAACCTTGGGCTCCCTATAGAGTAAAAGTTCGGCTCTAGAGGAACCAGTGGCCAATACAGCAAATGCAAAGTCAACGGCCGTCAACGAAACCTATCCCGCCAAACCATCTGCATCAACACCTTCTTTTGCAAAATTCAACGGCGACATAAATCGCTTGCCGGCGAATAAGCTGGCTCCCGGCGGACAGTCCATCAGCATCCCCACCGCCCTTAATGACTACACATTTCAACAGCAAGGTCCTCCGCGACGAGCTCCGGCCCCTCCGTCTATCACTCAGTCACCTGAACCCTCAATTTCTGCAGATTCACAACAGAGTAGAGATGTTCGATTTGGTGGTGGTAGTAGTAAGGGCTTTTTAAGCGACGACCCTGTGTCTGAATATAGCACTACTCGGTTATCACCTTCCAACCGACCGTTGTCACCACAAAGTACCGGCACAGCTCCTTCCGTTACTCGTTCAAACACATTCAACACGATCTCATCCAAGCAATCTATTTCCACTGTCGGTTCAAATGGAACGAATTTCAGTGGCGACCGCTCCACTATGCCCTCTTTCGGAAAACACACTGTCATTCCACGTCCCAACCCCACCAACCATAGTATGTCCGACCTGTGGTCAGAGTCAGTTGACAAAGGCTCATCCGTCTTGGAAAGAACACCCTCGGATGGACTGAATGGAATGCGAAACAAATATGTAAGCCTCGGGGGTATGGAGATATGAGTTGACTGTTTTACTTACCTAAGCCATGCAGGAATCCAACAAGTTTGGTCAAGCACCAAATGGTCTTCGTGGACCTGAAAGTCAAATCATGCACCGCCCCTCTGTAGATGCCCCTAGTGGTCAACGATTCCCTCTGCCTGAACCCGGTCAATTGCCTGAGAAGGAGGGCTGGTTACATAAGCAAAGTGACAAATACAAGACCTGGAATAGGAGATGGTTTGTGCTCAAAGGACCCAACCTATTTTACTTCAAAAGTCCTCGAGATGTTCGTATGAAGGGAATCATCAACTTGCGCGGCTACAAAATTTCCATTGATGAGGACATCAACCCTGGCAAATACTGCTTCAAGGCTAAGCATGAACGGGAGAGGACGTTCTTCTTCTATACGGATGGAGATGTTGAGTTGAGACAGTGGGTCAAGGCACTTATGAAAGCGACCATTTCTCGCGACTTTTCAGCGCCTGTCATGTCGTCCAATCATGTCGCAACCGTGTCATTGGAAGCGGCTAGAAAGATGCGTCCTCGTCCACCGTCCATGATTTTGTACAAGAAGAACGAAAATCGTAACATCAATGGCAGCCAGCGTGATAAGGCTATGCTTTCACCACCGTTGATGGAAGAAGAAGAGAATTTCTCGCCTGCCGATAGCAAAATGAGCTTGCGTCAAAAGTCGTCAAATCAAACTCGCGAATCAGGTATTACTGTACATCATAATATTATGCATCACCACGACAGTGAGATTCCCTCTCTACCATCCAATGGTGGTCAATCATGGTATGAGGAACAAAGCTTGCCCAAGCAATCGTTGTTTGATATCAATAACGACGACGAAGATTTGATTGATCCCCACCATGACCGAGCTCCGTCCATGATGCCAAGCTCTTTTTCACGCAGCTCATGGGCGCCTACCGACTATGTTTCCTGGATCAACACTCACCTTCCTCCGGGAAAACAAGTCATAGATCTGTCCAATGCCTTCCGAAATGGCGATACTTTGATTCAGTTGCTACAGCAGCTCAGCGGTAAAGAAGTTCGACGACCTCAACCTCAAAAGGGCGGAAGTGTCAGCATGGCTATGTTGGACAATATTGTTGCTGCCTTCAAGTTTATGGGACGAGAAGGCGTAGTTGTGGATGGTCGATACACGATTAAAGGTAAAGATAGGAGTAACATTAAAAAGGGGGTGGTGGCAGGAGACACCTTACTAAATATGATGCATCATCCTATTTTTTTTTTCAGATGTGTTTGGAGGAAATGAAGTCAAGATTATGGAAATGCTCGATGCTATTCGCGCTTGGTCAGATGAAATGGGGTACGAACAAACCAATTCTCTCCGAATACAACAACCTGATAGCGGTAGAAAATCTCCAAGAGTTGGCACTGGAGGCACTTTTGGAGGCGAGGATGATAAAGTGAAGGAAAGCCTTCGTATGATTTCTAGTGAAGATGAAGGAGGTCTTTGAACAGAACAACGTGCATAGAGACGTTCAGCTCTCCTTCAGCTGATGCTCGCCAAGAAAAAAAATAGCTCAAACCCATCCCCGGTGCTTTATGTGGGCAAAAACTCGACGTGGATTTCTAGATGCAAGCACCCCCCACTCCATTCATTCGCAAAATTACGCAAGATAGATACAGCAAGCTCACCCGAAAAAAAAATCTGTTTTTACCAAAGTCTTCTCAGAGCTCTAAAGCTCCCATTCTGTCCCTTCAATTCTTCCTTCACCTTTAACCCCTCTTTAATGTCAGAACACTATTATTATTATTTTCCTCAACTACATATAGTCTTTCATATATATACTATTCATGCAACAGTAAAGATACTTTCACTTTTTATCAATTTTCCTGTTGTTTAATTAAAGCCGGAACATGACTTTGTCGTATTGTGATTGTAGGATGTCTACATATTATTTTGAGGAACGGGGTTTCCCATTATCTACCCATGACATCCAGGTATGGTTTGGAAAGGTATATGTACAAGAGGTGTTCGTGAACTAGTAAGACACAGCAGATTGCAATAATGGCTTCGACCCGCTTTGCCAGCTTTTCATGGCCATAGCGCTATCGTGAGCAAGTTTAAATACTAAGGATGTTTCTTACAATTAGTTAAACCACAGATGAGCAAGTCTTTCATATCATGTTACAGTACATACACTGTCGTTCTGTCTCGTCCAGCTTCCGCGTGAAATGAGAAGAGTCGGTATTCAAGACGGTCTGCGCATGATCCAGGATCATATAGAGCCGCTTCCTAAAGGACTGTTTGTAGCAATGGCGTCATATTAGCAACATGTCGCACCATATAGTGTAGAGAACCATGTATGTATGCACTTGCCAATTTCAAAACTTGGGCAAGCTGCTCTTGCTCAAACTTTTGCACAAACTTGATACCAAGCCGATGAAAATATGGATGTATTCTTCTGGTATCAACCGACGTAGGTCCAGCAATAATAGCGTTACGAACTCTATTGTTGTATATTCTAGGGGTCTCCATGTCGAATAGCGTTCTATGGTTCAAGCAACAGGTTAGAGGATAGGGTTTCCTGTCCAAGGGAAGAATGTGGGTTATGCTTACTCGTCCCGCTGGCTATGCAAGAGACAATGTTACTACTCTGATCTGACTTCACGTCCTAACGTATGTAGATGAAAATAGACACTCACTAGAACTCTACTAGGGACTCCGCAAGCCAGTACGGCAGTTCCACCTTAGTCCCACTTGGTACCTGTACAGAGCCTGTTCAGCCAATGCCATTCACAATGTCGTGTACAGCACATGCTTACAACCATAGACTTACCGCAACTCCTTCTCCAGTCAAGTTCAGCTCTGCTCCTACACTGTCATTGAATCTTCCAGGTACTTTCTGCAACCATGGAATGTCAATTGCCAATCATGTTAGACAGCTGTACAAGTAGATCTTTCCTCTGTTCCAATCAACTAAATCAAAAATTCTTGCCTCGTGTTCTGCTAGTATGGCGTCTATGTCATAATATTCGTCACCTAAAGAGCTCATACTACTGCTGCTCAGGTAGTGGATTGGGAACTAGAGTGGGGGTATGGTGGAAGAAAACGAGAAAGTGTAATAAAAGAAACGAGTCCTGCACAAAACGCGGGTGAAACGCGACGCTCGCGATTTTTTAAAAATTTTGGCAGGGAAAAAATTCGCGCCCGCTCCTCTCAGAAATTTGCTACGACATTGGATGAGAATTTATTTATTATATAATCGGCCATTCTACATGCGTCAACACAGCAGTTGTTGTTCTATCTAGAAGCTGTTAGCCTGGGGAAGAGTGGCGGGAGTGTCGGTTCTGGGCTTGTGCAAGAACAGGTGCTCAAAGGTGGAAGACCAAGCAGTACGGGGAGTAAGGTTGTCAAGATCCCAGAGTTCAGCAAGGAAAGCGGGGATACTGGCGTGAGAGTAGGTGCGACCCTTGTTCTTGCCTTCGTGTTCAATGACACCCTTACCGACCCAAGGAGACATCATGATAGTGGGGACACGGACACCGAGACGAGTGAAGTCAAAGGTAGCGTTCTTTCCATCGTGAGCCAATTCAGTGTAGGTCAAGCTATCGCCAGCAGGAACATTGACGGGAGGGGCAACGTGATCAGCGAAACCGCCACCTTCGTCGAAGGTAACGATGAAGAGAGTTTCGTTCCACTGAGGTCCATTGCGAAGACTCTCGTAGATTCCTTTGATGAAGTTCTCGCCCATGCTGATGGGAGAAGGAGGGTGCATAGATTGGTAGCTGCAGCATTCAGGGTTGATGTAGGTAAATTGAGGCAAAGTACCGTTAGCAGCATCGGTATAGAACTCGCTAAGGAACTTGAGGTTAGTGTCAATGGCTCCACTGGTGATGGTCCAGTTGTAGAAAACGGCATCAGGGTTGAAACCCTTGGCCTTCTGACCAGGCTTGTTAACACCGTTGGGGTTAGTGGAGGAGTTGGAGTAGTTGATCCAGGTGATGTTGTTCTCGGACAACTGCTGGAAGATGGACTTTTGAGGAAGACCACCATAGTTGAAGCCAGCATCGTTGGAACCGTGACCGTGGCTGGTACCAGAGGTAATCTAGAGGATGAGTGAATATTGTCAGTTTAAGACAATCCATTCCTCGTAGCATTGCTATACAACCATTTCAGCTTCAGAACTTACGTAGGCACGGTTGGGGTTAGTGGGACCGGGAACATCACAGAACCACTTGTCGAAAAGAACATAGTTCTTGGCCATATCCTCAAAGACAGGGATATGGGCGGCAGTGTAGTAGTTCAAGATTTCGGAAGCACGAGTGGCATCACCGGGGTGCTTGTTGGAAACCTGTTGTTCGGTAAGGAAACCGAGAAGGTTAGGCTTGAGGTGACCCTTCTTGATGAGGGTCTCATCAGGATGGTAGGTACTGTACAAGCCGAAGGAAGTACCAGTGATAGAGTGGTTGGGATCGTCGTTAGCGATGTCGTTGGCAGGGGCCAACTTGTCAGCGCATGTGATGTTCTCCAAAGGGAAACTGACGTTCAATGGGTTGCAGAAACGTCTACCAACCATACCATCGATATCATGGCTATAGGTGAAACCTCCAGCAAGAGTATCGAAGGATCTGTTCTCTTGAACCAAGACAACGACATTTTTGATGTTGTTCTTCCAGGACGAAACACCGTGACCGTGGGGGTTTTGGTGGGGCTTGGCAGATGCCACGACGGCAAGGAGAGCTACAGCAGCAGCCTTGAGCAAAACCATATTACTATACGATAGATCTGAGGCCCTTCCATTATGAAATGATGCACCATATTTATTGGAATGCAAATACTTCTGCTGTGCAGTGAGACGTCCCTGGGCACGTGTGCAGCAATCTTGGATTGACGGAGCCTCGTCCTACCACATCCTTCTCACTTTGGCTACTAATATATAATTGCCAGCCAATCGCAGCGGTACCAAGGATCATGCCCAGCATATTCACCAAAAAACATGAATGCAATGGAGACCACATGCATGCTCAAATTTAGTCTAAATGCCTCTATTCTGGAATCACCAGTTACACTTGATTGTCGGTGCCAGACTAATTAACCCGTACAACGTCAACCCAAAGCCTTGTAACGGACTATCCCCGAAATCCCCCTAAGATGAGCACCTTCTTGCGAATGAAGACGTCCATGGATGGGTGTTAAAGTTGGTATATAGCAGAAGACCCCAAATCGTGATTGTACAGCGAATGCCATCAGCTACTTTGATTACAGCAAAAAAAAGCTTTTATGACGTATAATTCAATCGGCATTTTTGTATATCGCCAATAAACGTGTCGAATGGAGACTTTGTATCCAAATACTTACTAGTCGCTGTAGCTTTAAAATGGTTTCCCTGAATTCTATCTGGGTTGTGTCGTTTATCAAACAACGAACAATTCAAAAGTAAAAAGAGTGGCAACGACAGATAGTTTATCTTAGGAATGTGGCAATTATAACTGGAAACCTGGGTAAACATGCCTACTTTACCGGTTTTTCACGCTTCAATGGAGGATGTACGAATTGATTTAGGTTTTTGAAATTCCCCGTAGATAATTCCGCAGTATTGGGGGAGATGCATGGAACCGCTTTACGTTTCTTCTTTGTTTTACCAAGGCACTCATAAAAGTTATTCGTTCTTGATAGATGTTCATATTCATGTGCGTTCCGAACACTAGAAATACCATCGTCCACTGATCGTATAGCGCTGATAATTACGCTAGACCCTATGCTTACCTATTCTCTAGGTGCCGAGATTAAGCTTTACACGTTCTGAGCCTAGCCAATGAAAATATGCGCAATGTTATACATTGCTGGCGAAGGTGGATGAATCAACGATATTGATGTGTGGTCTGGAACATTGTATATCCGAAGACTCTTATGCTTAGTGGAACGAGACTGATTGTTCCAAAGGTGGAAGAAATCATGTACTTTTACCATGACGATGCTAATTAATTTATTTTTTCACTTAAAGGCGTTCGATACTATGCAGAAACCTTTTGTTCATGGCATCAAATGGCTCAGTTTTCGGTCGCTTCTCCGAGCTGCCGGATTCCGACTTGGTAAGTACCATTAACTTGGTTCAATAGTAACTCCACCTCGGTGATTACTGGGTCCCCGAAGAGCTAAAGGCTGAGTCGAGCAGATCTCAGATTATATGAACCAAAACGTGCCGCAAAATCGTATTATCTTGTGCCGACTTCTTGGCAAGACTGAATTTGTCTCCGCCGGTATCGCGACTTTATCGTTGTACCTGAATTTCCCCATCAGCAAGAGCCAATCTAATAACATTGCAGCTGAATGGCCAAACTGCATTGCCACAAATCACCGTCTTCTTTTCACTTCTTCCTTATCACATTGCCGAAAAGTAGGAATCATGCCCGACAGAAATCACTCTGAAGAGGCACCAAGGTGACGGTAACCCGGTAAAGTGGGGAACGTCAAAATCCAAAACCAGGGTTTTTTTTATTTTTGCCCTGCAAACATTGCCACAAAGTCAGTGGACTCCAGGATCAACCTTTCGTTTTATTAACTGATACACGTTTTTACATATCACTGATAGTTTCAATCGTTATGCTGGCCCTTCCTTTAAAAGGTGTTAACGGAAGGCAAGGTGGCGGGAGTGTCAGTTCTGGGCTTGCTCAAGAACAAGTGCTCAAAGGTGGAAGACCAAGCAGTACGAGGAGTAAGGTTGTCAAGGTCCCAGAGTTCAGCAAGGAAAGCGGGGATACTGGCGTGAGAGTAGGTGCGACCCTTGTTCTTGCCTTCGTGTTCAATGATACCCTGACCGACCCAGGGAGACATCAAGATAGTGGGGACACGGACACCGAGACGAGTGAAGTCAAAGGTAGCGTTCTTTCCATCGTGAGCCAATTCAGTGTAGGTCAAGCTATCACCCGCGGGAACATTGACGGGAGGGAAGACGTGATCAGCGAAGCCGCCACCCTCGTCGAAGGTAAGAACGAAGAGAGTCTGATTCCATTGAGGTCCACCACGAAGAGCTTCATAAATGCTCTTAAGGAAGCTCTCACCCAAGCTGATAGGAGAAGGAGGATGCATGGAGTCGTAGCTGCAGCATTCAGGGTTGATATAGCTGAAAGAAGGAAGACTGCCGCTTGCTGCGTCGTCAAAGAAGTGTTGGATGCCCTTGACGTTGGTGTCGATGGCTCCACTGGCAATGGTCCAGTTGTAGAAAATGGAATCAGGGTTGAAACCTGTAATGGGCTGTCCAGGCTTAATATAACCGGCAGCATTACCGGAGGAGTTGGAGTAGTTGATCCAAGAGATCTTCTTCTCGGACAATTGCTGGAAGATGGACTTTTGGGGAAGACCACCATAGTCGAAGCCAGCATCGTTGGAACCGTGACCGTGGCTGGTACCAGAGGTAATCTAATATAAGATCGGCATAAGCAATAAAGAAAAACCAGGTTTGGACAATTTTCACCTAGCTCAGACTTACATAGGCACGGTTGGGATTAGTGGGACCGGGAACATCACAGAACCACTTGTCGAAAAGAACATAGTTCTTGGCCATATCCTCAAAGACAGGGATATGGGCGGCAGTGTAGTAGTTCAAAATTTCGGAAGCACGAGTGGCATTACCGGGATGGCCATTGGCAACCTGTTGCTCGGTAAGGAAACCGAGAAGGTTGGGCTCGAGGTGGCCCTTCTTGATGAGCTCCTCATTGGGATGGTAGGTACTGTACAGACCGAAGGAAGTGCCGGTGACAGAGTGGTTGGGATCGTCGTTAGCGATATCGTTGGCGGGGGCCAACTTGTCGGAGCAGATGATGTTTTGAAGTGGATGACTGACGTTCAGAGGGTTGCAGAAAAGTCTTCCAACCATACCATCGATATCCTTGCTATAGGTGAATCCTCCAGCAAGAGTATCGAAGGATCTGTTCTCTTGAACCAGGACAACAACGTTCTTAATATTGTCCTTCCATGAGGAGGGCGCCGCCGATGCAATGGTGGCCAAGAGGGCTACTCCGGCAGCCTTGATCAAAACCATAATGGACAGAGCTTCAAGAGTTGCAAATCCAAGAAAATACCTTCAGTATTTATTGCAAGCATAACATGCAGTGCGTCTTGTACACGTGCAAGGGGTTTTGTGCCGTTTGGCCGTCTCATTAAACAAAAAGTTTCCCAGAAGACCGTGGCCGGATCCAGGCACGTGCCTCCATTTTTGGCATAATTTCTCCAAATTGGGTTTTCAGCAACCAATCATGGTGATCTCAATAGACACGCTTGACATTTGCAGTCTACGCAACTTCATCGAATATAGTGGTTTTATCCTAAAATCGCCTTTTTCATTGCGGAGTGCTACATACGAATGTCGGCTGTACCTTCAGTATTAGTACAAAAACCGACGGAATGGAAGTAACCCTCACGATATCTGAACAAGAAGGTGATAAAGCGTTGGAGGATTATGCACTGGATAGGCCAAATCACAATAACGATGAACCTGGCATTATTGTATAGAAGGTATGGCAGACTTTACATTTCGCTTTCTGAAACCATGGACCGTCTTGTTTCTCCAAAATCTCGCAAGGCAATGTAAACTTCGAATTAATTTGGGCAAAACAATTCCCCGTCAGTATTCTCAGTTTCTTTTACATTCCATTGAACATCGTTGTATCCGAGATTCCGCGTACTCTGATCACTTCGTAAAATGAATAAATCTTAATGATAAAGCGTGGAATGCCATCTAGCTCGAATGAAAGGCTTTTTGGAATAACGCCGTAGTGAAGTAGGTGGTTTTCTCATGACAAACGTGTCGTAGCCATGAAATAAACTGCCCCATATCACTCATTGACTCTGAGCATGTGCTAAAGAACGTGTTCCCAATGGTACTGCCACACAATGAACTCATTCAGTGGGCAGTCTTGGCGCTTATGAACTTGAAGGGCTTTGGCGACATAAACTCAGATTTTCGAACAATGCTGCTCAACCTAATATCCACTAAATGCATCTGGATTTCGGTCTGTAATTTTTCAAAATGTGCTCTGCCAAAGTCGATTTCGTGAGACGAGATTTTGTATCAAAAGATTATCTCGACCATCGATTTATAATGCAATGTTCAACATAGCAGCTGCATGCAGCTGGAGTATGACATGCAGGCATATACTCATTTGGAAGGAAAAAAGAAACAATAAGTGTAGATACCATAAATATCACTGGATACAGTAACAGGGCATCATTTGTATATCTTGCACGTTATTATCACGTTTCATTGCAACAAAGTTCTGAGAGCAATGTCAAGAATACGCCATAACAGTCAATAACTTTATCGTTTGCTTTTCTAGAAGGTGCCGATCATGCAGATCCTGCAGGAGTATGAATTCTGAGCTCGTTCAGGAACAAATGTTCATAGTGGAACATTCTACAGAACGGGAATAAGTTTGTCAAGAACCTCAATACTTGCACAGAAAATGGAGACCGCTTCAGTGATTTTGAAATTTTTTCATCGTTGGTATAAGCATTGATCGCAACTGATGCTTGGGCTGTATGTATTTGCTGATCTAGTGTACAGATGATTACAAAGACCTTACTTTTTGCCCTTCAGAAGGTTATATTCATGCTATATGTCCTTCTAAAACAGACTTCTTTTCCTGAGTGAACTGACTACAATTTATCATTCATGATACAACTCTCCAACCCCTTTAACGTCCAAAGCAGTTGCAAGTGTATTAGTAGCAGTTACGCTAATTCGCTCTAAGATTCAAAGGAGAACTGTCTTGAGCTGAAAAAGAGAGCATGCAAGTTTTTGCTAAACCAGTCATGAAATGGGATTGGCAACTCGATAAAATTTTCTCGATAAACGGTTGGTGGACAGTTGCATAACCCCAGCCAGCAAAAGACGGCCTGGGTAATCCAGACTGCTAAGAAGCTGGTCCAGACAATGAATGATTTGCCATATTTGCTTGTAAAACGGGCGAAAGCCATGTACAATCCTCTTTTTTCTTATTATTTGTTTGCACGTTTTTATGTGGACGTGCGCAGGCTTAAAGTGATAGAATGTGGATCAGCAAACACTACAGTTGCCTAAACAAAAAAAAAAAATCCAGTCCATGAAGACCATATTACGTTTATGTACAGTACAGAAAGTGGGGATTGAACAGGAATAGAGATTTTGGTTGCTTGACTTCATGGCCAAATAGTACAAAGAATGAAATATACAGAAATATAGGTTCCGTTACAAAATAATAGGGTAACGATAGGTAAGCGATAAATAATACGAGGGTTTTGAAAAGTATTGCAATTTGATTGGATTGTCATCCTTCGCTTATGCTGCGAGCGCCATGTTTTGCTGCCCATTGGAGCCATTGGTAGCTTTGGTCTCCAGTGACATCTCTGGGATGTCCTCATCGACTTCTAAAACAGCTTCAAGTCCTTGATCGTAAGAAGAAGTGTGCTTGACAGTGGCATCATGCGCCTCCTTGGCGTCACGAAGACTCAATTCAACAAAGTCGGCCAATTTGTCATCAGCACGCTCGAGGATCTTCTTGTCCTTGACGACTTCACGTACACAGAACCAATCGTGCACACAGTCCTCCATGACGGTTTCAACATCCACGCCGTCGTCTCTAGCCTTATTGGCCACATCAAGAGCATCATCTCGAAGCACTTCCTTATCACCAACATAGAACAGAACATGTTTTGGTAGGAAGGCTTGGAAACCCGTGGTTAATTTGGCGATACCAAGAACGCGAATGGCATCGGGTGGCGTATCAGGATCCAATGGCTCAAAGTAGTCTTTCTTGATGACTTTGGCTGTGTACTGTGATACAAAGTCATATTTGACGTTTTCTTTCCAGGACTCCGAAGTAGTCTCATCGGTCACGAGAGGGGAAATCATGACTGAACCTGCAGGTCGGGGCAGTTCTTCAAGTACAGGTTGAGTGGAGTTATCGTCGTCGGTGTCCTCAGTGACAATTTCGAACATGCTGGGATCATGTGTGATGAATAGCATTTCCAAAATGAGAGCAGCACCAGCGCTATCACCAATGGTGACAATTTTGTGAGGCTCGACATTTAAATGGCGTGTAAGATATTCATAGGCTCGGACAATGTCCTCTACCGGTGAGGGATAGCGGTGTTCGGGCGCCAATCTATAGAAAGAAAAGTTTAGAAGGTTTGGCTTGAGTTACACAGGAAACTGGAGTTCATAGTTGCTGCCTGACCCCCAGCTACTTACCGATAGTCAACAGACATGATGATGGCATTCAGTCCATACTTGAGCTTCAGGGTTTTAATCCATGAGATATAAGCATCCATATACATGGTTGGGGTACCAAGACGGAAACCTCCACCATGGACGTTGAAAAGCACCACATTGGATTCGTCGATCCTTTGTCTTATGCTGCCTTCATCGAGACCACTGACGTCTTCACCGATCCAACAACCTTTCCACTCCAAATTCCACGTCACCTTCTTGATCCAAGGCTTATGTTCCTTTCTTGCTCGAGTAACGTCGTTTAATATCAAACGAGCTGCTGGAGCAGGCATGGCAAAGACCTTTCGTAGCACCTTGATGGTGGTGGACGGAGGCATTTTGCGCAGAGCTTTTCGGATTCCTTCCATGATAAAGGCAAGTGAGAGAGAGAGAGAAGTAAGCGAACAAAGGGCCAAGCTCACAAAATATAAATAATGGCTACTCAATTCAATGTCTGCCGTTAGTGTTACAGTCATTTCCTTCTCACACCATTCCCCGCACGGTCTGGTGTTACCTGCTAATCCATTTTTCATCTAGTAAAAACCCGTCAGTTTGCATTGCATCGTACACATATCCTGGTCTGCCACCATGCCGATACATACATCGTCCGTCCTAGCGACGCTTGGGTGTGTGTCCATAGAAAGAGGCTCAAAAGAAGTACCCCAATGTCGGGTGCACTTCACCCATGGCATTTTCACATGGGTACGTTTCCCAAGCATGCCCAATAATATAGCCTAAGCCGAATTTTTTATTATACAGTAATGGATAAATATAGCCCATTTACGATGAGCCAAAAGTTCCAATGGGAAGAGGGATCTTCCAACGTGGGTTCCACTTGTCAGCTGCCATGCCATGTACGTCAAACAACTTCAGGCCATTCAGGCCAACCCAACATCGCCCTTGTCCCCAGAAACAAGTCGATGAGAAGAGAGCAAAGAGCAGTAGAGTACAGTATATACTGTAATGGAAAGGTTAGTTAAGGGCGTCATTCGGTTCCAGGTAAGTGGAGTTATCATTTACCAAGGTTTTTGATGCAAGAAAAAGGAAATCAGAAATAGAAGGACGAATATCGGTGGTGAATCAGGGAAGGGTAATAGGAGTAGAGGTACAAAGTACCGCATGCAATACATGTTGATGCTTTCAGGTGGGGCCAAGTGGAGGAGCAAAGTCCAAGTCGTCTGCTTAGAAAATTTTAGGATGGAAAAATAGGGATTTCCAGCGGCTTCCACATTCCTTCTGGCCTCAGAACAAAATGACCCTTTTTCCCTTTGGTTATGTTGATATAATCAATACACTATTATTTATTTTTTAGAAAGAAAAAAAAAAAAATTAAATAATGTCCATTCAGCTGAAAAACAAAAAATGCACAAGTAATGGGGTCGCTTGCATGATGGCCCTGCCAGTCCCGCCAAGCCGTCCGTTATTCCCAAGAAGTAGGTCCATCGACACAAAGTTCCTCCTCATCTCCTACAGAAGATAACTCGGAATTGCTCCTTTGTCTCGATGTTTCAGGTTTGGTTTGCAATAAGGGTTTATCCTGTTCTCTGCCAGCAGGCATGGTGGGGTGACTTCTACTACGACGGCGCATAAGCTTGGTTTGCTTGAGAGCTTGAACAGCAGGCACAGGAATGGGTTTGTCCTCTTGCTGTTGCGAGCCTCCAAACGCCCGAAGTTTACTGGTCCAATCCCACATACTCTTGTTTTTCGTCACCTCGTCATTGCTATAGCTACGCTGACGGAGGGTTTCCGCGTCGTGTTTTGCATCGGGTAATTTGGGAGGCTCCGTAATCACCAGCCTTATTTTCTCATTGTCTTTCTCCATATCATTCACACTACCAATGGAGATATCGCTTTCATGAGATTGCCGTTCATACGCTTGATCGTCTCTCAGTTTCTCTTCACTTCCTTCCAGGAAAAATCCTTTGGGGATACCTATCAAACTGGACCCACGGGCAGGCACTTTAGGTCCACCAGGGTGATTGGCATCATACGATTGTCGCTGGTAACCAGGTGAAGCTGAGTAACTCCTTCTCATTCGGTTTCGCATTTCGTGGCTTTCGCTATCGGTGGAAGGGGTTCGTTGCAGAGACACACCCACCATCTTGCGAATCATCTCACTTTCCCGTATGCTTCGGAGCTCCTTTTCTAAAATGGTTCTATAGCACTCCAATTTGGTGTACCGTAACCGACAAGCTTGCAATCGACTGCTGGTTGTTTCTGCATATTGAAGGATCTTTTCTCGAGTAGATTTTTGAAGTGGAACAAGCACCATCAAATTGCGCCGAAAATAGAGGTCTTGTTCGATCCTCCTTGAAAGATTGTCAATGCCAACCGAGAGATCTGCCATTTTTGCGTGTACCAGCTCTTGCCGTCGAATAACATCTTCATGCCGACTATGCCTTGAACTGCCGTTATGAGAACTAGTCATTCGGATTCCAGTGGACTTCATACTGGCGGCATAATTCAGTTTACCCATCCAGTCGTACATTTCTTGTTCGTTTTCTGCTCTAAAAATGAATTGCTGTCCATCACCTGTATGAAGTCGGAATGCATTGGGATACTTGGTATATTGCTGATCGCAAAAGCATACAGAATCAGTGAGCGATATGATCTGCACCGGTCTGAGATACGATGATGGTATGGATGAAGATGTGGTCGAGATGGAAGGGGCGAACGAGGCAAAAGATGTACTGGAACGAAGCATAGGTGAAGACGTTCGCTCAGGAGGAGTTGCTTGACCAGGACTTGGCGGTGCTGTGCTGTTTAGTATTTCGATGGTGGGGGTCGCCGGTAAGCTGACACTTGCCCTATCTGATAAATAAGATTCACTTCTGGGTATGTCGAACCAATCCAGGAAAGCAGAAATGTCGGCAAAGAAGATGAGCTGACTACCACTGAGGATCATACCAAAGGTTCGCCATCCGCGTACATTGGCTCGCTTGCCTCCTTGCATGAGTTCATATTTTCGATCGAGAACGCCGGCTTGCGCAACTCGAACCATGTATCCCGCATCCTTGTAGACACTGGTGACTTTTGAATAAATAGAAGACGAGTCGTTGGAAGTTTTGTTGCTCTGGCCATCGGAAAGAGGGCTTGATTGCTTGGTCTTGACTCCACTCAACGTGAACGAAGGTGCGCGCGAAAATGCTCGCCTAAGAGCATCAATGTCAAAGTAACTGCCTTTGAAGTCATATGGATTATCGGAAGGCAATAGCCTCTCCAGTTGAGCTTCCAAGTCATTGTTGACAGGTATCTAAAAAAGAACGAGGAGTAAGTTTCACTCGGGGGAATGTCCCAGCGAGTTTCACAAAACCCTATGTCTCACCTGGTTGCTCGGTCCATCTGGCTTAGCTAGCTTGGGGAGCCACGAGGTTTGCCCTCGGGTATCTGCAGCTTTGGTTAATTGTCGTTCTTGAATAGGGTCCATGGGCTGTGCGTACTGGAACTCGCAATTAACAATGTTATCATATATAACCTGCATAGATCGTCATTGTAGGAGGTTATCAGTATTGATCAGTCCATTTAAGCTATGGGTTCTAATTGAGCCCCTTACGTCTAAAATCTCTGCGGGTATATTCTCTCCTCCTTCTATCAATCGAGTTCTCATGATGAACGTATCGCGGGTCATCTTGCGCTTCACATTCTTGTTATGTGCATCTGTGTGAAGCAGTAGGATGGAAAAAGCCATAGCGTACGCTGAATCTATAGTATGTGACCTTAGTTTGGAGTGGGACAAAGTTATGGAGGGGGAGGGCAATATCATACCGTACGATTCAGCTAAATCAGGATTGCATTCATGGTAATGTTTTGCGAATGCCTCTAGAGCTCTGTCTATCTGCTGGGATTCTTTTGGAAGATGAACCTTTGCAAGAAGTCGTCTAGACGATGGATAGAATCAGTAGATGATAGCTGTATAGTCTTTCCATCTTAAATCAAGAACCAACCTAAGAGCTATATCAATGGCTTCCCCAGTGAAGTCAAAGAGCTCCAGCTCTGCCTGGAATGTGCCCGTCCCGTCTCTTTGATCCAGATTGTAATATTATCAGAGAGCTGGAGCTTTCCGAGTAGTCTGTTGAGGCAGCGCCAGTGCTGGACGGAAGTTGGGAAATCTTCGCTGTGACTGCAAACGGCCAGAGTGTCCTTTTTCCAAAAAGTTTATTAAGAGGAAAATAATTACCATGGAGTATTTTATTTACAGGGTTAACATAAATAGATATGATATTATCAAGCTAGATATCATCCATTGCGACACATATTCCTGTGTTGCAGCCGATCGCTGAGTACTGAGAGCATCAATTCGATTATAGAGTAATAAGTTTGGACTGGTTGAGCCCAAACCATGTATAGCGCCACTAGTAGCCATGCCAGTAATAGCACGAATGATATCTGCAGGCTGCATGGCAGATTTGTTCTGACTTATTCGCTCAGACATGTAGGTAGCCATGACACCTGCAGCAAATGGAGTAGAAAATGAAGTGCCGCTTGATACGTACGTCGCTGTATCAGAGCCTACCCAAGTTGAGCGGATCTGAACTCCTGGGGCAAACAAATTGACACAGGGCCCATAATTACTAAAACTTGCAACGTTATCAAAACGATCAGTCGATCCTACTGTCAGTGCTGTGCGAGCACTGGCTGGACTGAACTCGCAAGCGTCTTGTCCAACACCACTTTCGTCCCCATTTCCAGCGGCCGCCTAAGCAAAAAGAAAAAACATGTTTAACACCCCATTGAAACCTCTCATGCTTTTTACAAGCAGTCCATTCACTTACAACCATGACGATGCCTGCGTTGACAAGTGCCGTAACAGCTTGGTCCAAAGCTGTGCTTTTTTGAGTACCGAGAGATAGGCTAATCATATAGCAAGTCATTAGATGTCATTTTTTCAACACACTACTTAGGGAAAGTGTATGACTTACTTGACAATTGACCTATGGCTATTTCCAAGTTTCTTCGCAGTTTTTATAACATACTGCAGCCCAAACAAAATATCGCTGACAGTCCCGCTGCCATTCCTGTCTAGGGCCTAAGAGTGAATCCGTTTGTGAACAAATTGGGAAGGTTGGTTTTATGGAAAAATAAATAAACGCGAGCATCATTGCTTACCTTGACGGCAATTATTTTTACTTTTTTTGCTACCCCATAAGCATTTCCACCAATGATACCAGCAACAAATGTGCCATGTCCATTATCGTCTATGTCTACGCTGTTGTCCACAGTTGTGATTCCCCATGAAGCTCTTCCACCGAAGTCTGTATGTCCGATATTGACTCCACTAAAAAGAATGTTATTGAACAGTTATATGCTGCTTGTATGCCAATAGGATGCGCTACTTACGTATCAATCACATAGGCGACAATTCCTTCTCCGGCACTTTCAGGATACGAGTAGTCAGTTCTGAGAGGCAAGTATTTTTGGCTGATACGAGCTAATCCCTATGGACAATGTATACCACCATAGACATGTTGTTAGTACGACGAGAGGAATAGATTTCCATAGTCTGGGCAATGGCAGTTTTTTTTTCCTGCAAGCACATCAAGGTTTCAACTTACCCAGTTTGGAGCATCCGTTTGAGTGACAGTCTGAGTGCTATTCAGCAAGGCATTGAAGGTCTCCCCACTTTGAGATCCATCGAGACTTGGTGCATCGCTACCCTGCTCTTCGACGTCTGGAGTGTCCAGCGTTCCATTGTATGGAGCAATGTGAACAATGCTATCTGCTTCAATACCAACAAAACTTGGGTGCGTTTTCAAGAATTCTCGTTGTTCTTTAGTGAACTTCCAGACCAAGATATGTGTCGTATTATCAAACGTCAGAATCTCAGGTTTGGGCGACGTAGATGGCTGACTGGCGGTAAGAATATTATAATGAAGATTTAACGACAATTTTTCGATGAGTTCTGGCGGTGGCAGGCTAGAAAACATTGCAATTTGGCTCTGTAGTGCTTGCCTAACCGGCACAAGCACACAGGTCAGCACGGCCAGGGAGAGCCTCATAAATGGGGGTCGCATGATTAGTCTATTGCAACAACGTGGTACGCGCTGAGGGAGTGTAAAACAATCAGAAAGAAGGAAGAAAGATCTTGAGAGATTATTTGTTAGCAAATCTGTTTATTTGACGATGTGGCCGGTGAACCGTTTGTTTGAAAAAGCGGTTTCATCGATGTTGAGGTTGGAAACTCACCGAGGCGCTAGGCAGAGTCATTGACGCACATATCGTTGTAGAGAATTGACAAGGGAAACCCAGTGTTTGAATTAAATAGGTTCTAGGCAAGCGTTTGGATGGTGATACTCGAATGTTGATGACTACAGCAGAGAGACGGCGACGCCAAACCCACCATTGAATTGGAACTTTGGCATAAAATTTTCCCAGTTTGTTTGGATCGAGAAACATCATAATAGCCAATATAATTTTGCTAGAAGGTTTCGGGGTTTGTCGATGTGGACGTGCTTTTGTTGCTAACGCTTCCAACCAGTTGTTGTTCAAAGTGCAAAGGGTCAATTGGGGTTAGCATGCCGTGTGTGGGTTGAGAATAAATTTTCATTGGCCAGTTCGCTTGAATGAATGGGTTATCACACCATTTTGATCTTTTTTTGCCCGCTTACTGAGGGAACCCGCCTTACTACATAAATACAGTCAATCTTGTACTTTTCCCCACTCGTTTGTTACTACTCCCACTATGCGTGCTTATTACTACGACAACACCGAATTGGACCAAAGAGAAGTCCATGATTCCGGAAAACCAGTATCGGTCGACCAACTGAGTCAAGTTGGTGTCCTGTACTGGCGCATTACGGGTGACAATGCCATTGAAGAATTAGACAAGGTTGCTGCCGAACGTTCTTACAAGAACCGAGATCAGGTATATACTCGCTTGTTTGGTCTACACTTCGTGAGGGCAACATACTGAGCCATTACGCTCAACTTATACTTTCAGATTGTTGTCTCTCCTGAGGCCATGGGTGAGATTTACGAGACCAAGGTCAAGAGCTTCTTTGACGAGTGAGTGTTTGTTTTTTTCTTGCTTTCAGATTGCATTGATAGCCCGGTGACATTAATTCCTATTTTACCTTTTCCATTTGATATAGGCATCTCCACGAAGACGAAGAAATTCGATACATCTTGGGTGGAAGCGGTTTCTTTGACGTTCGTAGCGAAGGCGACGAGTGGATCCGCATCGCAGTTGAGCAAGGTGACTTGCTTGTTCTTCCCGCAGGCATCTACCATCGATTTACTACCGATTCCAAGAACTACATCAAGGCTATGCGTCTTTTCAAGGAAGACCCCGTATGGACTCCCATTAACCGTAAGCAGCTGTGTTTTTAATGTTGGTTTTTTGCCACATTTTGCTATTCAATAGACTCAACACCTTCTACCATATCCCCCTCCAGGCCCTCTTGCAGACGATATCGAGATCCGCCGTGAATATTTGAAGACTGTGTCTGCAAACTAAGCATTGGACATTATCAATATTATCTAGTCCATAGGATTCCCCTTGCCTTCTTTGCTATATTATGTTACTTAAAAAGGCCATTTTTTGAATAAAACACTGCTGACAGTGTGAAGTATATATTTTCGCCTTTTGAGATAGTAGTGGAGGAGAAGAAAGAGCAGAAACACAAGTAAAAGTACACAGGTTGAACTACACCATATAACAAAAGGAAAAAAAAAAAAAAAATCAAGGAACGGAGAGGGGAACAAGGAAATGGAGTTATTTACAGAGTATCATTTGGCAGCCATGGCAGTGAGGAGTTGACGATTTCTTCATCCAACATAAGATGATCCTCTTCATCAGATGAACAGCTCGACGATGGAATACCGGCGTAGGGATCTAATATCCAATTGGAACCAGCATGCACTAAGCATCCAGTACAAGAGCACGACGATCCGCAACGACATGTTACGATACGATTGCTAGGACGTTGAGGCTGCGATTGACCATGCATGGGAGTAATAGTGATACATACAGATTCACCAGGTAAAGATAAGTCGCCACAACAGGCACTTGATGGAGCAAAGGAACCGCAACAACTTTGATTTGACCGACGCTGCTGAATGGACAGTACTTGCTTTTGCTTTTGCTGGTGTTTCGATAGATCATTCTCAAAAATGGCCATCAACTCCGCTGCACTCTCAAATGTGAATGAATTCGCAAGGTCTTCAGTGAATTCGCCTGAAATAGATGAAGCAGAAGATATTGGAATATGGGTAATATCGTCGCTTTCATCGGTTGGAAGGCATGCATTTTGTTCAGCCTGATCGCCGTCTATTAGCATAGCAAGGTCGTCTGGCAAGTCATTCAGTGAAAAGTCGAGCGATTCAACCGCCTTGCTCTGTAAATCGGAGAAAATGGGCTCGGACGTATGCGGAAGGGGTGATGACAGGTGGCTCTGCAGCAGAGTTTCATTTGAGGTAGAGGCCGAGTATATATTGAAAGCGTCGGTGCCGAGCACGACGGCAGGTTCGGATTTGACGGAAGAATCGCTGGAGGGAACTCGAATCAGATTATGTGGGCCAATGATGCTTATGGGAGACGGTCGTCGGGATAGCGAAGATCTTCTACGTGGATGCGGTTTCTTGGGCTCAATTGATTTGTGAAAGACAAAAGAATAGTCGTTGTTATTGTCGATGGGAGGTAAAGGAGCTACTAAGTCCTTTGCGCTACTGGTTGCATGATCTGTTTCTTGTTTCGGGGCTATCAATGCCCAAGACCATGAAGCTGGGTCTTGTATGGATGGGGAAGATGAAGGGGGTGATGGGGTACTTTGTAGGTTACCATTTTGAATACCAATATCAACGGCTTGAGGAGACACTATGGGGCGGCGAAGGGATTTCTTCTTCGACCGTTTGCATGTGCAGTGACTTGCATGTTCCATATCACCCGAGTCGGAGGCAGATGTGGCTATGAGAGATGGCTCAGCTAAACGCCAATTTAGTTTCCTGTCATAATGTCCACTGAAGTCATCCAATACTTACATTGGCTTCGGTCCATACAGACGCATTTGACATGAACCTGTCTATTCCTACGCAGATCACGACAGTGAGAGCATTGTGTAACGGGCCTGCCCTTCTTCTTTATCTCGAATAGTGGTCTATCTGCATGCGTGCAATGAGACGATCGATGTCCCTAGGTATTACAGCATTAGTTTTATGGCCGTCATAAATCACCATGCGTTCTGGGTGGACTCATTACCTTGATGCAAGTGGCGCAAGCAAATTTGACGTCGTTTATGTACATGAGGGTTGAGGTTTCTTCTGTTGCAGTATATTCAAGGAAAGGGGGGAAAAAAAATAGAAAAAAAATACGATAATATAGAAAAAATAAAATACGATAAGCAGATCAAATTACGATGCTCAAGGAACTCTCTATACGGAGAGGGAGATTTCAATAGAATAAAGATGACGACTGCTACTTGGACTACTTGATTTATAGATGAGATACATAACCTTGGAAGAGCAGAATAATGAAAGGGAGAAGAAGAAGAAGAAGAAGAAGAAGGACACTATGGCAATAAAATCATCCACTCTTTGCCTTTTCCCTAAAAAATACAATCCATACCAAAGTAGAGTTGGGGACTGTCAAAGAACGAACTCAGGCACGTCAAGTGTGCTTTGGGAGATTGCGGCATTTTTCCACCACACAGAACTCTCTCAACACTGTAACCCAGAAGCTGGCCAGGGTTAGGGCTCCATCCCAACCGTTCGCGCGATTTTCGCCATTGACGAAGGCTCCGATTGACCTTAGCGGCAGCTGATTTTTACAGCGTGTGGCGAGTCACGTGCTTAGCCCTAACCCTCGTCTTGCTCAGTGCAGGCTGGCTGAGGTTGGAACTTGCGGTCCTGTGCACCCTACCACACACACTCACCAAATGAAGAGATTCAGATGCTTCCGTCATTACAGTCTATCCAAACATTGCTAAACGAGATCAGCTACTATGCTCAACTATTGACAGCCTTACTTTCGCTAGGAGGCATCATCTACTCGCTCATTCGCCATACCGACACTTATTATGCCTTCTCTGAGTGGTTAGATATCTCCTTTTGGCCGGCTTTGTATAACCTTTATTATTATTCTGGGTTGCCGCTATTATTGCATATTCTTCAAATTGATGTACTATTCTCACCCGGAGGCTTCTTGGAGTTTTTTTCATTTTTATCTCCTGCATTAACTGCTCAAGATGAAGCTGCCATGCTTCATGCCGTCGATACCAAACCTCCTATAGCCGATCTATGCTCGTCACAACCATTGTATATCAGCGGCTTGGTCAACACTGGTAATTCATGTTTTTTGAATTCCGTCTTGCAGGTAAAAAAAAAATTATATATCATTTTTAATGCAATATCCCCGACCTTAACCCAAATGGATTACGCTTCAATCATAAGGCCCTGTCTGCTACCGATGGAATTCAACCATTCCTAAACCTTATTGCCCATTCATCACCTTCTACCCCCGTGGCCGCTTCGTTATTATATACGCTCAGTCTATTATCATCCCCCAGTAGAAGACGATCATGCTTCCGACCAAGACATATTGTGCGGGCCATGAGTAACCATCGTCGTGTGATCAACAGGGAACAGCAGGACGCTCAAGAATTATTTCAGCTATTGTCAAGTGCTGTCAATGAAGAGGAAACATCGGTTGTTCACCGCAATCGAACCAACGGTATAGCTGAAGTACTGGTCAAACCTCAACAGATCAAAGAGCGATCTCCTTCCAATCCGCTGATAGGACTGTCTGCCAACCGACTTTCTTGCTTACAGTGCGGTTTTACAGTGAGCCATTTTGTTTAATCAGATTAGGGAAGTATTGCAAACTTTAACCATATGACGTTGTAGGAGGCTATCAGGCATTTCACTTTTGATAATATCCAGCTCATACCCCCATCCAATGCTGTAAGTAACAAAAACAACCATACCAGGTTACTGGTAGTTCCGTACTCATCCCTTGTCTTCAGCATTCTATCAGTTTGCAACAGTGCCTACAACGGTACACAGCGATGGAACAACTCAAAGATGCAAATTGCCGCAATTGCTCCATACGTGCCACACTTAAGCTGCTGCAAAAGGAAATGGCCACACTGAGTGTTAAAGCTAAACAAGTTCATAACAGGATGGAACAACGCCAGTTGCTTGATCATCTTGTTACGCTTGATAAACAATGTCGACAGCTGGACGACCGAATACGGAGCGGACGCATATCTGAAGATTATGATGACGATAGTCTGCGTATTAAATCCATTGCAAGCTTCGCCTCCACCAAACAAGTCATGATCGCCAAGCCGCCCAAAATCCTATGTTTGCATATCTCTCGTTCAGCATTTCATGAATTCGGCGGTTTGCAAAAAAATATGTGCCAGATTGTGTTCCCCGAGATACTCGACATCTCCGCATACTGTACAACAGGAGAGCTTAATGTGCACCCTGACCAACCTATTTCGCAGCAACCACCAGGTGCAGGACCTTACAAGTATAGACTCAAGAGTATCATCGTTCATTATGGAAGCCACAGTTATGGTCATTTTGTTACGTATCGTCGATTACCATGCCACTGCTCATGCCAACGATGTCAGCATTTGGATCACATCTGGCTTCGGATATCCGACGAGAAGGTCGATCGTGTAAGTTTACAGGATGTACTACGGGCAAATCCATATATGTTGATGTACGAAGCTTTGGAATCCGAACATGGTGGCGACTCCGCACAACCAATGGTGACGTCCTCGTCAACTTCAGAAACACCTATACTTGCAGATGCACCATCGTCATTCGATTATTGCTATACAAGTGAAACGCCAGAGTCTTTAGAAGCCATCCGAATAGCCAATTCTCTTCTCACCAACGATGAACCCGCCGAAGAATCTACGGCAACGACCCTACCACGGCGACGGAAACATCATAAGAGAAGAAGTAGTAGTAAACATGTAGATAATCTTGTTACCTCGGTTGTTACCGTACAGTGACGGACTATGTCGCAATTGATCGGCTGTAAGACTCAATTTTTTTTATTTTTTTTTGTAAATACAAAATAGCGCTGCGGCTTGTTTCTCCCCGCTATTACCACGCATGGTACCGTTTTCCCCTTCTTTGCTTTTTTATAAATCGAAAGCTTGGATGAGTACCAAAATATATCTGTTGATTTTTTTTTTCCATCTCGCGTAGATGTGTTAATGCACTCATTCGTTCGTTGCTGTACGGATGGTCTGGTATCTATCAGCTGCCGGCGATGTGTAGAGTTTTTTTTTTTTCTTTTTTTTTTAAGTGGCCGCACCTGTCGCCGCTAAGTCCTTTACCGCTCATGAGGCTTTATTGCCAACCGCTCCTTGTAAGTTCTCGCCTGCTGCTGAAGTCAAATTCATTCTGCCCCAGTTCTTTCAGGTATGACAGTACAGGCTCGTCTCTAATATTTAATTCCCACAAGTTGCTGTCTGCGTCACTTTTTAGCGACTTTGACCCAAAAGTTTGTTCTTCGCCCTATCATCCGCAATGTTTCTCAACGGGATCGAAAACAACCAACTCAACTGCAGTAATCCACCCATAGCCATGCTGACAACAGCCCTACCTTGCACCAATGGCCTCGTCTTCGATGCTTTCCCATTTCTAAGATGATCTAGTTGTTCTGATACATACAGTTCTGTAAGCGAAACATGTTGAATAGGTTTATGTCGAAAGTAGAATGAAAGAACCATTGTGAGGAGTTCCCCAGTTTGTCAATGGATGGAGGTACAAACGGAGTACAAAGAGGAGAAAAAAAAATGATGCCAATAATGTGAATAGGGTTTGCTGTCAAAAATTATACAATGAAGGGTCAAAAAACATGGAGGAAACGAGCAAAAATCCCCAGACTTATTGGTTGGCGAGAATCTGTTGTCGGTAGGATCGAACGTAATTGTTGCCTACACCGCCTATTCCAAAGGCTGGGGCGATTCTGCCCACTCTGGCTAAAACACTTTTAACGTACTCTCTTCGGATAAGTGAGAAGCGCTGGCCTGGCGTAGAGGATGCATTGTTGTACAGATCAAGTCCAAGTAAATGAAGTGGAGTACTTAAGACTTGCATGATAGCTGGACATGCGAGTTGACTTATGGTGTCGCTTGCCTTGGTACTTTTTAATATGCCTTCGGTTTGGATCCATTGAGACACGATGGGGGGAGCATTGAAACTTGCAGCGATGGTGAGAGAGTCTCTTGCGGCAAACAGAAGATATGATAGGGCGGGTAATGGCTTTGTAGCAACTGTACCAAACATTCTAGTGAAAGCTCTATCCTTGTATATGCATGCAGACATATTGACCGCAGTTGTACCGACGAACTTTGCAGCCGAGGTCTGAGTCTTGTCCCGGCTGAGGTGCTCACAGCTTGTATCAATGACATTAGCGGTCAGGTAGGTACTAAAGTAAATGGCATAGACCAGACGGAATTGCCTAGTAGTAATAAATTTGAAAGGTTGGGAAAAAAAAGTAGCGAAGCCTTGCTTGAGGCCTTGCACTAGAGGAGTTTTGCCGTTGGTGTTCTCGATAATGGACCTGTCAAGATACCGTATTTAGCTTATGCCGGAGCATTAATTGATTTCACCCATAGCATGAACTGTTACCTATCGACAATAGCAATAAAAGGAGACACGGCGAAAGATGATGATCCAGCAGCAACCATATCCACACTGAATAACTTCACCAAAGTAGTGAGAGAATTCTCCGTGGTAGCCGCCGATTCCAATGACGGTTGAGACAATTTTGACTGTGGCATGGCCATTGAGAATGGTGAGAGGGAATAAAAAGTGAGCCTTCTTCAGGCACTACTGGCTTGTTTACGAGGGTTTATATGTACGAGCACAGGACCAAAGACGCCAGGCATAAGTTTAAACCTGTAGACGTGAGAATCACCCCGCCCTATGAAAGAGGGAATTTTTTGGTTTTGTTGCCTTGTATGAGTCAAAACGCTGGTTGGCCATTTCATTGGTCTACGGTATTCAAAATCTTCAACGGCCTGACTTCGGTTCTTTTCATCATCGAGTTCCTACGTCTTGTCGACTATTTCTTCAAAATCCTGTGGTTTCAAAAGGGGGATCAAGCCATGCCAGTACCAAACAATCTCCATTCCCGGAAAGGTGCCAGGCCCTCAATCGGGTGGCATGAATGGGTAGATTGTTCACTTTGAAACACCGCCCAGCGAATGCTGCCAGCCCATACCTCAACGTATGGGTACCATTTCTCAATGCCATGGTTCCAACCCCCAACAAAATCTATATGGCTTTTATCTATCAATACTAGCATAAGGAGATCAGCCATAAAAAAAAGACTATCATGGGCAGAACTTTGATCTAGCTTGTAGAACATCGGGTTCCCATCGTAACTGCCCGGATCAAATGTAGCCAGTCGGGTAGATACGTTCATTATAGCCTTGTGCGCTGCATTGCGCTACACATCAGCTTCTTGTGGATCAGCTCTCACCCTTCATTTAGAGCTCGGATGTACGCCCCATCCACGTTTGGTAGAACGTCCATGTTTGGAAATGATGATGGGCGACAGGCCAACAAATTTACTGAGTGGGAGACACAAAGGCAGGCCCTTATTGTAAATCAGTTCATGTCGGGTCATGTCGTTTACTGTGTTCCGTTGGGTTGCGAAACGTGTACTAGTGACCCCATATGTATGGGATGTCACGAATGTGGCTCATGCAATCAGACCAAGCGGATTCATTGGCAAATGCGAACCTGCGAACACTACAATTGTGTTCCAGCAATAATTTTGACCACAAAAATTTGCTTCAATTGCTTGCGGGAGACATTGATCCAATTCGTATGTCAAAGTATACATGAGTATTAGGTTCTCGGCAGCATGGACGTTGTGCTTGCTTGGGAGGGCTTTGAATGGAACATTGTGGGGTACGAACTCAGCAGAGGCTAATTCATGAGAGTGAGATATTTCCGACACGCACTATTTTATTTCTCCTCAAGCACTCTGCGTTGGTCTATCGTATCGGTATAGTTGATTCTAAATCGCTCCCAATGACAGGTTAATAATGCTCCGTACCCTTCACAATAGGTCTACAGGTATATTCATCAAAAAAGTTGACTCTATGCGGATAATTTTATCGGGACGGGCAAATATGCCACGTTCAAACAATGTACCCAATTTCGTTATCTGGAAGTTGGGGGCACGGGAGTGGCCGTGCAAAATAATCCATGCTTCCGTTTCTGACCGATGAGTACGGCTAATATTTCAGAGCCTTTCACTGCCTTGGATGTGACATTCGCCATCTTGGTCGTGACCATGGGTACATGCCAGACTTCCGGGAGTGAAGCAAGGCCTACGAAATAAATGGGGACCGCTTCCCGCAAGCCTAAATTTCCTTCCCGCGGTCCTCTCACACCCAAAAATTAAAAAAGAAAAACGTTGAGTAAAATCCTAAAAATAAATATTAACCCATGAATTTTGTAGGAGATGGTGTATCTCTTCGTCACGACCTGGCCGTGTACGATGGATAAGTAGCTGATAATAAAGGTTGATGTTGAGAAATGCTTTGAAACGGGATGTTCCACCTCTCCAACTCTTGACATTTTACATCCTGATACACTGCGGTGCAATATTCGGCTGTACGTAGGAGGAGACGTTGGTCATAAAGAAAAGTTGGAAGAAACTAGCGAAAAGTGATATAAGTAGACCATCGCTGGCGGTATGAGATGGAATTATCTTGGAAATAAAAGGTACCACGAATATAAATGTATGCTTTACATATCAGAGGGTGTGTATTGATACGATTGACATGAACTTGTATTTTTACCTGTGGAAGGTTTTTACACGTTCTTTATCGTTATGTTACCAGACAACGGTTCAATTACATGGTCATCCAAGCTGCACCTCTGCTTTCTATTTTTCTTTGTCGAGAGATCAGTCATCTTACCGATTACTCTGTTCATACCCTATCGAAGGTCAATATTCTCATTTCATTTTGCCACTTTGGTACTGAATTTGCATGACCAGTCTTGATATACGAAGAACTCGAATATAGCTCTTTCATTGCAAAAGCTCAAAGATGGAACGGAAGCCGAGGCACACCATTGAAGTAAAACATTCCAAGTAACTCATATCGAAAGAACCGTTTATTGATACTGTAATTAAGAAAATATAAAGTTCGTGCATAGAAATCTCGGCATTTTTCTAAATTCTGATTTTTAGGCTACCTTTAACATTCTTTAAATCTTTTATTTTTTTCACCATTGTGCTTTAGGTGATCAAGAGTTGAGATTACGTGATTGATAAACTGATGGGCATACTTCACTTGTGTGTAAAGTTTTTTATAGACAAGCTGAGGTACTGCAAAAACTGTTTCAAGTTGAGATAAATCGAAATGAATACGCCTTCCATACATTTTATTTTATTTTTTCCAAGAATTTATATTTTAGCGTTTTTGCTTTCATCGATATATATTTAATTATTCTCCAGTTCCAAAATTTCTTTCTTGTATATATGTCAAGATGTTCATATGGGTAAGATTGGCTCTTCAACGTAATCTCGTATGCAATGCTAACATGTCACTTAAAATGCAAAGAAAAGGAATACGCACTCGCCTTGTTTCATTTGGCGTTTGGTAGAAGTATAATTATTTTATAGCTCAGCCAGTTCAGAGCAGTATTGATAACTCGGCATTAAACTATCCTACCATATAATGATGATTATGCGCTGCCTTAGGAAATGAGATAGGATTTATACCAGAGGATTATCATTTCCTGAAGACATGTCCTTCTACGAACACAATGCCCCACGTTTGATGACCGTCGCCTGCGAGCCAGTTTAGCCCAGCCACTGTTTGAAATCTACAGATGTTACAGTAAGCAATAAGAAAATGAAGAAATAACCAGTCTCTTCCTCAACTTACTTACTTACCTCGATTAAATTAGATATTCAAATTTGTATCTGAGCATCCAGTGCATTAGCACGCTTCATCGGCCCGACCAATGGAGTCTGGTTCACAGTCGACGATGATACCCAACCAGCCCGCTTTACGTGAAATTTGTCAATCATTTCTGGTACGCCGTCAGCTTTCTCCTCATCTGTAAGCACCTCTGACAATCCTACCAATCGATGATCAGCTTTCGAAACCACTGCGTGATGGGTGCGCAAGTCAGTAGCAGTATACCGTATCTCTTGAGAGAGCCCGTCTGCCAAGCCGTTGACCAACACCTTCCTGATACCAAGCTCCCTGTATACACCTTTACCAAACGTGGTAGTCCCAACTACGTGACACATGTCTGGTTGCCTGATGACAATCCAACACACGGCTCTGCTCTCAACGGTTGCAACTTGTAGATACATGACACTTTTTGCATCTATTAGGATATCTTGTTCTGATGCCAATAGCGAATGAGCTTCCTTGATGGCGCGCAGATTTGGTTCAAGCTCTGTCGCACGGATAAATAGACTACGCCGCCAGACCATTGTTTCAGCAATTTCTTCTTGCACAAGAGATGGCCGGCTGCCGCCAACTCGCGGTAGCCAGCACAATGATTTATCAGCACTGGGTGCATACTGCAATAGTCCGTAGGTGCTGATACCAGATAAACATGCATACATTGTTTTCTCCACATCGGCTTTCCTAACAGCCCCAAGTAATCCACCGAGAGCAATAGTCGAATCTTCTTCAATAAAAGACACTGAGCCGTGAAACCATGACAAAGCTTCTCCAAATGTGCGAAATTTGCGTCGTTTGTTGGACACGGTGGTTAGTTGATTGCGGGAGTAGCTCATGAGGATGTTACTTACGGCAGCCTCAGCTCTGGTCCAAATGCGTGAAGACCAAGCTGAGTTGTTCACGTGCCTTCTGTGCACATAGGGATCAATGATGACCGTCGCATTCGCATGCCAATACACGTTAATCATGTCAAAGTATGCAGCACGATCTTGATTGGGCTTCCAACACATGAAGTCAACCCACAGCATGGTTATTCCAAACTTTTTGCATTTTTCCATCAGTCCCTCCACCTGTGTGCGTACATATCCTATCTCAGATCGTGAATATGATACTGCAATGTACCGCAAGTCATGTGCCCAAGGTATAAATTTGTTGTTGAGTACATCGTATAGCTGCAGACCAGGATTTTTGACTCTCTCTTCACTCCAAGTAAGAGGAGGTGCCTGCATACCAATTGGTACATTCTCCAGTTGGTCTTTTGTGAGGTTGTAGGCGGTAAAGCCACGAGCACGTATGGCTGCTAATGCACGCGCAATGCCCAGCCTAAAACACCCTGGTATCTTGAGCTTGATTTCTGTCTCGCTGACCACTGCTTCCTCAATGAACAAAGCCACCAAGCATTGTGAATATCCGGCCTTGTACATATTTTTGGCCAGTACAGCAGTATCACCCGTGGAGGTTAGCCTAATCGTATCAGCCTCAAATGATAATTCCAGGTCAGATAAGAACATGTCAAGCACGACAATTGGCGGTTGGTAAACGGCTGGCTGCGAGAACCACTTGATAGCATCTGCAAAGCTTGTATCAAAAGACAGTGTAAAGGGAGAAGCCTTGGTTCTCTTGTGTATCCTGCTAATGGCAAGAAGAAGTAGGTTGGTCATTCTGGCTATAGTGTCGTTGCCATCACGAACGCCCTTGATGTGAAGCACATGACCTGGGTGACATTCACCTTTACCAGGAGATATATCTGGCACTGACAGCAACATATATTGCGCAAGTATATCTAGGTTTCCAATATCGTGTGGGACGCATGATCGTACAACACTGTCTAGTGTAATGGCAATGATGAACAAAGCGGTCGAATGTGCGGCCTTGCAAGTAGTAGCATGTAGCATGGCGGAGAGCACATACTCAATCCTGACTGCATAGTGCACGTTGGAAAGCCTTGTTGAGTAAGTACTGCTAAATATGTTCACCAATTCAAAAAAATTGACTTCTCTAGCAGCAGCACTAGGAGCATTAGCAGATAAGCTAGCCAGCTTGAGATTGTCGGGGCTGAGTCCCTCAATCAAAGCAGGTACTTCCAGCCTGTATTGAAACTTCTGTTCATCAAACCACAAGTATGAATGTTTGCTTACTTTCGTAAAATCTTGTGGCGTAGCACTTGTGTGTAGATCAATCAAGGCTTGCGCCACCTTAGGAAGACCGATGTCATAGCCTATATCTTGAATTAATTTAGTCAGCTCGTCATTAAGAGCATCGCTTCCTTTGGCGTCTGTCCCGTAAAATATTATCAACATTTTGCAAATGACCATGAAAGGAACGCTAAGTATACTGAAACTCGCACTGATGATTGCCATTATGAAAGAAATGTCATCCCATATGGTCCATCCAGCATCCACTAGATTGCAATACATTAATGGCATCATTAAGATCTGATTTTTGGTGTAGTCTCTAGCTCTACCGGATTTTCCTAACGGAAATATTTTGATATGATCCTTGGCGCAGCTTCTACCTCTACTGCATAGTCCAAAAAAGTAGTAAAGCCCTTCAAAGAATTGAAAAAACGAGTGAAGGAGTCCTTTGGTTTGGTGTAGGGAAAGCTCTGGTCCAAGTGATGCATCACGTCCGATTGAGTAAGCTGCACACTTTATATCGCTTAGCACTTGCTTGTATTGACAGTTGGCTGCACATTCCGGCGAGCAACCTGCGCATGTACCATTTGTGAGCTCACAATGGCATTCAATATCCGGGATGTCCCCTTCGTCCACAGTACGCGCTTCTGACGTATCGTCGTTCTCGACTCCATCATCGGCCGCAGAGCTATAGCTCGCAGAACCTGCACTGCCATTATGCGCAACGCCTACGGAGAAGAGCAAGAAGCTGCTGCGATTGCCGCAGTATGTGACGTCAGCAAACCTCTGCTCTGGGTTAGATACTGCGGGGATGAGGTTTTCGACTCCATGAGCAGCATTGTCACTACAGTAGGGCAAACCTTCGTTTAGACTTATTGAGTAGTACATTAGTGCTTGCGTTCGAAGGCAATGAAGATTTGTCGTTATATATGTAGTTGTAGACACAAAGAAAATTTTTGACAGTAGTATGTATGCGCAGTAATGGGATGGTTCCGTTTATTTCGTAGTTACTCAGGGTTTATATGCTGTTTCATTTTTGTTACCCCTGATTAGTGAACCCCCTCTTGGTGACTCACTGTTGATTTATATTTCTCGATCTGGCGAACCCTCCTTCCAAGTGGTTTGTACAGTTTAATGCTCTACTGGCATTCGGTCGAGAAAATCATAAACCAGAGGATTGAATGTTTGAATGCGAGCTAAATAAAGTGTAAGTGTTTGCATGCATGTCTGTTAAACCGCTCTAAAAATTGACATTCTACAAACTGTTCTGTCATCGCTGGTGACTTGCCCCGTATTCTCTATTGAGCCGTCAAGAATTTCTATCGTACACCTAAGCCACGCCCAAGCTACGCCTTCAGTCACATGTACCAACGCATGGCAACAAACAGTAGATATAAATCATAAAGTTGATACGGAGGCTTTCTAACTGTGATTTTTAATTCATCAATTCTGTATTGCGCCGAGTTGCCAGGAGAGATAAATGAACATGAACTTCACATAAGAGATGTAGAAATATCGCAAATGCATGCAGAAGTTACTGAACAAAATAACATGCTACATTCAAAAGTCTCTAGAAGTCAAAACAATAAAAATCCGGGATGTTCAAAAATATCCATGGCATATGATCAAAAATGGGTGCGTATGCATAGGACGTAAATCAAGTGCAAAAATGCAGCTTCATCTGTGGATGTCTCTAACTGGATTCCAAACATGTATCAAATGACTTTCAACTTTTCATGACAGGGAGCTAGGTAGCGGATGGATCTAATAAGATAGAGAAAAGAAACAAAGGTAGCTTGGGAGAGCAATAGACAATGAACCGGACTGAAACAGTTCAATGAATAAGAAATAAAGGTGACACAAAGGGATAATAAGCCAACTGCTATATTAAGAACCTAAAGTTTAAGTAAGAGAAAGAAGTGTGTATTTTATTGAATGAAACTCCATTCCTAATAAATGATTTCCGGAAGATAGTCACGGAAGGTGCTTAAGGTCTATTGGGTGTTCAAGAGAGTCAACTGAGAGAAGTGTCTCTCAGCTGCCTCTCATTCAGTTGAAACCGATCTTAGCTCAGTTGGTAGAGCGGGAGACTGTAGTGAGCCCCCAAAAAGGGTTAAATTGTCATCTCTAGGTCGCTAGTTCGAATCTGGCAGATCGGAATTTTTTTTTGCCCAGTTGCAAAACCCCAAGCTAAATTTTTTTCCCTCTTTTATTTTCTGAGCTAGAAGATACAGATTGCTTTGGAGTAATTAATCCATTTTTATTCGATGGGTTTTCAAGCTACAACCATCACTTTAATTTTTTTTGACACGTACTGATCCATCTTCTCCATCCGTCATGACATGCTGACGCAACATTACATAAATGGCCCATTCTGCCAAAACGGTTCGCACGGCTAACCTTTTGAATTGGATCGGTACGGAATACATACCTAATCGATGAGCGGGCGGTATTTCCTATATAGACATATCTTACCGACTTGAAAGGAGTGGCCAGTAGTTCCACAATGTGGCAGCAATCTGATCGCCAAGGCTGAGCCCATCTGAACGTGAAAATCCACCATGCTCGTTGCCGAGAAGGGAAATTGCTGTGCTGCTCGGCATAGCAGCACGTTTAGGCATGTTAGCAACGAAAAATTTTCTCAGCGCTTCAAATCTGAAACTAATTGCGGTTTTGTTAGAAAAAAAAAAACCAGGTACGCAACTTCAACTCATAACACAATGTTTATAACAAATGTTTGCATAGAATGTAAACATTTACGAGAAATTTTTTATTTCATTTCTGTAGACGAAACATCATAAAAAATGACATGAGGGTGGCGTAAAACGTCAGGTTGATCGGGAGGAGAGCGTTAAGGGGCAGAGTCAATCTATTCGGCAACGGTCCAGGTAATGTCGACAACACCAGTGTTGAGGTCAGCGAGTTTCTTGAAGGCAGCTTGAGTGAGATCGATGGAACCTTCCTTGCATTCAGGGCAAGCGTCGTTGATTTTGACGATGACGCTCTTGCTACCAGAGGTGACCTTGACCTTCTTACCACACCAGGAGCTCTTGGAGGACATGTCACCGTATTGAGGGGCGTTCAAAGCACCAATGAGTTCATCGTTGTCTTCATCAGGGCCACAGGCACCTTGAGAACCACCTTCGGAAGCGGGGATGAACCAGGTACCCTTACCAGAGTACTTCTTTCCGCTGCTGGAGCTAGAGCTAGAGCTGGAGCTGGAGCTGGCATCAGAGCTCTTGTGGTGGTGCTTGTGGTGCTTGTGTTTGCTACGCTTGTCAATGGGGGCAGCCATGACGGATGTGGCAACCATGGCCAAAACGAGGAGAGAGGCAGAGAGTTTCATATTTGAAGATCAAATGAAGATATGTAAAGAATGGGATGTAATGGGGGTGCGCAGCACAGAACTGTTGAAGGAACTTGGAATGGATGGGAGAAGAAGCGTTTAGAGTATGAGAAAAGGAAATCGACCAGCGAAAGGCTTTCAGATTGCTCTAAAGAGAATGTAATTTACAGATAGAAGAAAAAATTCGCTAAAGGCACTTGGGTTAGAGTATATATACTATTTTATTTTTCGCCTGGGTTGACCAACAAGGGATAATCAATATTGGAAGCCAGCTACATATTAAAACTCGAGGATGGGCTCCAGTTCATCAATAAACACCATTCAGGAAAGAGCTTCCCTTCATGGGTCATCATTTGACCTCAGCACAAAACATAAAGAATTCCAAGATGGTTCCATTCAGTAATTGATTCATGGACCATCCATAGTTCTCTTCTATCCCTGGCTCATGATGATCTTATTACTGCTCGATGCCATGTGTCAATCTGCAAGATAATATTGCATGCTGCAAAGTCCATCACTTACACATCACAAGATCAACGTGGAATACCTTGGTGAGGAGGCTCCTTCCCATCATGAAGTGTTTGTTTGTGCGCCTCGTCGTTGCCTTTCAAAAAGTAATTAAGAAAGTCGGACTGCCCTGTAACTTTGACGTCCCGAATCCCTAATTGGTAAAATCTCTTTCTGGGATCCCAGTTTGAACCTTGATTGAAGGACCGGCCGGGTCCAGAACCACACGTTTGCTATAGGCGCCAAACATTTTTTTTTTATCGGATGAGCGAAAAGCAGAAGAAGTGTGCTCACTTTGCGTCATCATCATCAAGAAATCGATATCGACGAAGGAAGTCTGTCATGGTTATAATTTACCTTGATTTGGATGTTTTCTAACCATGCCATGCGACACAACCGATATCCACACTCCACTTGTACACCTGTCCTACGCATCATATGCCTTCTCAAACGGCCAGTGCGCTATGAGACAAGTCGTATGTAAAATTTTTTATGTTATTGCTTCACCGCTGGGCACAGACGGCAGCAGAAGATAGCTAAAGAGGTGGAACGTACCTCTGCACTTGGTGCAAGCCACGGATTGCAAGGGTACTTTCCATAACGGCTCATACTTACGAAGGTCGCACCAGCGAGCACCACTTTGTTTGGGTGCTGGCATCGAAATTTCATTTCCATGGGATGTCAACCTCTACTAGCCTGACCAAAAGGCTGTTCTGAAAAGAAGCAGTAGAACAAAGAGAAGGAAAGGAGGAAAGAAAAAGAAAACACGCATTGTCCCAATAATGTTGAAATTTTGCCCAAGGTCGTGGCGGGTTTTCGCATTTGATTTATAAAGCAGATATGATTAATACATTGCTGGAACATTGCGCAGGTCTATGCACGCACAATCAAGTTTTCACATTATGACATACAAACAAATGGTATGGGACACACCCTTTAAGGCATTCAAATTACGGCAGGTTCAAAGGGAAGTACATATGGGGACCAGTCCGCCCCACAGACAGGCGGGTTTAATTGAACGCTGCGTAGTGCCCCAGACAAAGCGCAATGTTATGTTTCTTCTTGTTCAGAAACCAACCCTCAAGGCAAATCAATGGGTGTTCTTCAACCTGACACATGCTAGACGATAATTTTGCTAGGTGGGTCGGCTATTCAAAATGACTCGTCCAGCTCAATCATCCATCTCATTTAAAATCCAACATCCTACCATAGCAGTATAGCCCAACAGTGCAATGAACAAGGCCAAGATGATCTTCAAGGAAGTCATTCCTAGAACACCTCTTATTGTTGGGACAATAGTGAAGCATTACACACGAGGTAAGTGAGATGAAACCCCATCTGATATCATTGCCGCCAATAAAGACATCTGACACCAACACGCTACTGTTTAGGCCCGCCTGCCGAAGAGTGGACTCTGAAGCAGCACTTGACTGTCAACCTAGTGAAAGATTTGGTGGGAAAGATGCGTAATTACACAGTAGAGGATATTCAAAAGATCAATCAGCGTCCTACTCCGCTGCCACCAGGCTTCAAATCAATTCCATTCACCATACCCAGTGAATATCGGGAAAGAGCATTAGAGAAACTGGCTCCTTTATTGGAGCCTTTTAAGACGGAGATTGGGTGGGATTGGCAGCAAGACCAATGTGATCCCATTACGGGCGAATGGATTATTCCCGAAGACTTGATGAATGACCAAGATACACCCGATATCGACATCCCTACACTCCTGTACTTTCCTGGTGGAGCTTATCACATCTGTTCTATTCAAACGCATCGGTTTCTCACCAGTAGAGCTGCAAAGGTAAGGTGGTTGTCGTTGGAGGGTTGGTGGTCAATGTCACCTGGTGAAAATTAAAAAAATTTTTTTCTTCCAATGTCTCGCTGAGCAGCATGGAAAATGCAAGACGTTTGCTATTAATTACCGGCTAGCTCCCCAACATCCTTTCCCGGCTGCTGTCATTGATTCTTTGGCAGCATACTTGTATCTTACTGACCCACCGGCAGATGCAGGATTCAATGCTATCGATGTTTCCAAGATAGTGATGGGTGGTGATTCTGCCGGCGGCGGTCTTGTCATGGCCACAGCTTTAGCTATTCGAGATCTTCAGTTACCCGCGCCAGCCGGCGTGGTGGCATTGTCTCCATGGTAGGTGAATTAAATGAATTGGGGGCCTTCATGGGTTCTCCTAAGCTAACGATCAACCATGCTTGCCCAGGCTGGACTTGACCCATTCACTGCCCAGTATTTTCAATTCTATCGACACGGATTATCTACCGAAAGCTGGTTTTGATTATTTGGATTCACCTGCTTTGGACTTCAGTAAATTGCCACAAGAGAGAACCACTTTCCCCGATGCTCTGGATATCGCTAGCGAAAACCCGACTGACACGGCCCAAGAGCCTGAGATCATTACAAAGACAGAAACCATCAATGATCAAGTGGTGGAAAAAAAGCACGTCAAGCGCATTCAACTTTATGCTCCTAATGAAGCCCTTATGGTGCCATACGTATCTCCTGTGTTCGATCCTCTTGGTCTACAAGGACTTCCGCCGTTGTTAATCGAATCCGGAGGTGCTGAGCGGTTGCACGACGAAGCTGTGTACGCTGCCCACTCAGCTTCACAGCAAGCCCCTGCCACAGCCATGAATGCGTGTCAACCTACCAAGGTCACGATCAACGTCTATGAAGGCCAGCCCCATGTGTTCCAAATGTTCGTCGACCTACAAGTTTCCAAGCAATCTTTTGAAACCATTGGATCCTTCATTCAGCATGTCACCGGTGGCGAACAGGACGCTCAGCATCGATTTGAAAAACAGTTTGAACGATTCAGTATTAACGGAAAAGGCCAAAGTGTCGATCTGACGGCAACGGAGTTTTCCACAGAAACATGGGCTGAATGGAAGAAGTTGCTTGCTAATCCTAGCGTCGAGCAACGCATGGAGGAAGCTAAACAATATGGCATTAAAGTCAAGGGTGTTTAGTGCCTATAGAGGAGAACGCAAGCTTGACTCATCGAAATATGCAGACAATTGGTTCCCCTTGTTCATCTCGTTGATATTTGTACATATGAACGCATGGATTGAAAGATATCGCTTGCGTGCCTTCTAAATAATTTCTTTACAATAATAGCTTCTATCACCATTCTAAACCTTCCAATGCGAGGGCTCTTAATAAAAGACTGAGAGGCTCAGCTCGATACCTTCCTTCTCCAGACACTCTGATTCCAACGTCATCCGGTATATCATCTGTATCGAGTTTCTCGTCTGTCATGGCCCGTTGGTCGTAATAATTAAGTTCATCCAAGTCGCCTATCATCATTGCATCCACATCCACATCCACCAACAGTTCATCTTCTGCGTTCTTGTCGTTTGCGTCTGATTCATTTGCTTGGTCGTCTACTCCACTGTCACTGAGATCATTTTTGTCGGTACCCGATGAAGAAGAGGGTACGGTGGCTGCTTGTGATGACGGTCCAAACGGCTGTGATTGCTGACGATTGCGACTTGTGGCATGACTAGCAGGAACACTGGGGTCCAACAAATTATCCAGCAGATCTGAATGGAGCAAGATTTAGCTTCTCGTCCTATGACAAGGTTAAAAGAGGTCGGCCACTCACCATTCTTTCTTTTACGATAGTACTCTTCTTTGTACTTCTCTTTCTTTTCCTTGAGATCTTTGATCTCCCGCTCTTCCTCTGTCATCATCTCTGGATTAAGAAACTTGAGTTTCAAAGATGGATGCTTTCTAAACGAGACAGAGCCACCCCACAGCCAGTGTGGTAGTGAAGTTGGAATAGTGATGTCAAGGTTGTGGAACTTTTCGACAAATTCAAACACCTCGGGAGATATTACGTTGGACCGCAGATACCTGTTGGGGGCAAGGCGTGATCAGAGAAGAGACGGCTGTCAAAGTACTCGCGATGGATACTTACCGGAGGTATTCCCCCATAGCGCTGGAGGTGTTCCACATCTCGAGTTTGCGCAAACACCCCACGACCAGGCCAATGACATCCGACCCGTCTAGGCAGTGAATGTAGATAGGCAAGTTGGTAGGGTCAATAATGGTTTGGATGGCGACGATGGTGCGTGTGTAAGTGAGGGGTATATTATCTTCTTTCATCTTGTCGACTTTCAAATGGATCATAGTTATGTCTTGTTCGTTACAAAACTGCTGTATTTCTTCGGGAAGCGGGTCGGGAGTGAGCGAAAGCAGCGTTTTGAGGTGCAGGCTGTATCATGATGAAACGAGACGAGACGTGGCGAGACGAAACGTTGAGAAGGTGTGATCAGAACAAAAAAGTCGGTTGTCAGCAATCGAATGACTCATGCCCGCCCTTCCAATGTCAATGATACCAACTAACCGTTTTATGAATCGCAGATTTCGTAGCTTGGGAAAGCCGCCCCGAAATACATTGTCCTCCACAGCAGCAAAGCGGAATGGCGGTATCAGTGGAGGTAATCCAGGCATGTTTGAGTCAGAGGTGCAAGATTTTTATTACTATGTGGGAAAAGCAGAGGAGAGGGTAAATGAACAAGATGGGGGGGGTGCTTGAAAAAAATATGAGAGAGAAATTCTAAAAGTTGAGATGCGATCGATGAGTGGCATTGTAGCTGTCTAGCATGTCCCAAAATCCAGACACTACGGCCTTGTCCATGTGTCGCTTATGGCGATGAATCTGAAAATAGGAAGAGTGTTTAGAAGCTGTCTGTTAGAGGCGATGGGTACGGCGATATTACTTACATTCATCTGAGTTACAGCCCAGTCTTTAGCAGGGCCCTGGAGTGTGTCGGTCTGCCATTTGGGATACACGCCTTTGACTATCATGCAAATTCAGTTAGCGGCTTGCTGGCTGGTACCAACATGTCATCTGTAGCGCGTCTCTTACCATTGCTGAAAAGCTCGAGGGGTTTCTCCCATTTCCAGCCTTTAAACTGCCATTGTTGACCTGCAACAAATACGCAGACCACACGATCCCAATCGTTTTGTCGAAAGTTGACAGCTGAATCAACCACATGGTATGGCACTACTTGTCCATTCGCCTTTCGTCGTTCAATGGTCACTCTCTCTGGCTTCTTCATGCCTTGGTCTCGCATGACTTGAGAGTCAACAAACCTATATGCCACAAGGAGTAAGATACATTGAATACACGTCGGGTCATGGACGGGCGGTATAACTCACTCTTGGCCTTCTAAAAATTGTTTGATATTGAACAACGTTAACATGGCAGTGGGAGCAGCCGGAACGATCATGATAGGAATCTTGGATTCTAGAGTAAAAGACATTATTACAAGGTCAATAGACATGGAGGCAGATCAAACGTACATACCTCGACCCATTGGCTTTGATTTGCCTTTCACGACCGCCTGTCCAGCCTTGCTTGGTTGAGTAGCTGGCTTTGCCGCAGAAGAAGCAGCGGCTTTAGTTGCATCTGCCTTTCCGCTAAGTATATTGGCCACCGTCATAGGCAACTTTTCAAAATTCTACCACCAAAATGAGATGAGGGTTTACGACAAAAATCCATGCCATGACATCCACCAACCTTGATGCCACGCAAAATTGTGATCTTGGTCTTGATTTGCCGTTCTTGAGCAAGTACGCTCTTTACAAAATCGACATTATCACTGTCTTTGGCAGTTGGAGCTATCTTGACTCGCTTTGCGCCTTCCACTTTTCCCTGTTCCACCACATCGCCAGCAGGTCGTTTTTCTGTAGGGGAGCGACACAGGTTAGAGATAATGGAACGTGACAATACATCAGCGAAAGCCGTCAAGTACCTCCTGAAGGCTCAACAACGTTGGCTACGCTATCGACTTTGCCGGTCAAGTAATCTAATGCTTTTCTTCTGTCAATGATGGCTACATTTTCGATAGATTTGTCTCTGCATTCTCGGATATAAGTGGAGTTGTCAAGCTCGCTGTTGAGAAAAAGGAAGATCAAAGTGTCCAGACTGTAGAATTCAGATTGTGAACTGGACTTTTTGAAATTCGTCTGCGTGTTTCGTGGTAACTCTACATCTCCCAAAACAATCACGCTGGCATCAGCCACCGAGCGAACCACCTGATTGTTACTGTCCTTGAGCTCGACTGGTCGGTTGTTGCGGATGCTGTCTCGCAACAGAGCTAGAGGTGAAGCAGTTGCCATGTTGGAGCCAAAGTTGAATAGTCAAGTCAGTTCAGTCCGCACTGTGATGACTTGCCTCATCGGAGCATCAAAACCGAAGCTGTCCCCCCCCCGCAACAGCGACAGTCTAAGCCACCAATGGCCTGCTCCACGCGAAACTTCATATTTTGCCCAAACCAATTTTTTTTTTTTTAAAAAAAAAGAAAGGGTGATTAGCATCATTGTTTATAGATGACATTTATATTTTTATAGCCATGGTAAATAGCGACAGTGAAGGCTTGCACCCAAGGAGCCGAAACGGTTGGTTACAGGAGTATGCTTGATATTCATCACCATTCATTTCATTGCCGAAAAGGATTATTGTTAGTATTTGCTGTGTAGGATGGGACAGGGTCAAGGTCAATGAGATTGCCAGTGTTTCCACCAGAAGGTGGAAGACTGGAAGGTAGTGGCTCTGCATATTCAACTCGTGGTGACCCGGACGCTATGGAAGAAGAATCGTACTCGGTGTGCGGTAATTCCAAATGATCTCGATTTGGATTGGTCGGTGGTGCAACGGGTGGTGTCTCGACATTATCAGATGGTGGTTCATAGATCGGTGGTGGTTCATCTGGTAACATATCTCTACTTGTATCTTCCAGTGTTCCCTCTAAGCCCTCGCTAACAATTCGATAGCGCTCCTCGTCCAAATTACGCTTCGTCACTGTCACCAGTTGACCAAGATTACGATGACACCCCTCGATATACCGAATGTATTGGCGAACCCACGATAAGGCTCTACCCAAGTTAGTACCGGTCACGGTGAGCATTTGATAAGTCTGTTGAATTTGTGCTGGGGAGGAGTTAATGCGCTGTTGTGGTACATCTTCCATACTTTCACAACCAACCTTGCATGATCATATCCATAACCACGTTGTCAAACATCATGTTAATTAAGTAATTGCCTTGGATAACATTGAGCGATCCAGGATGAGGTATTTCAGGAACCTGTGTGCGAGCTGCATCCAGATGTTGTTGAGCCATCATGGATATTGACCTTGCGTCTGCATAAAAATAAAATGATTAGCTTCATATGAGTATATTACAACATCATCAATACATACGGGTAAGAGCTTGATACTCCATCATATCCAGCACTGGTTCACGGGTGAACATGTCATATGAACTGTAATTAAAGGCGACCATTATTTCTTGCAAGCACCTTGCTAGCAGCGCTTGTGACTTTTCCAGCTCGGACCTACAGCGGCGAAATCGTTGCAAGTCCCGCGCAGCCTGGGAGATTGAAAGAGCATAGCATGGTCAGGGAATCAACACTGCGGAACGCCGGTACTAGCTCAAATGTCCCACCGACTTACCGTTTGATACTGCTGATTCAAGTTAGCGTAATCAGTTGACAATTTCTCTTCTGCTCGGAATTGAGCATGATACCCATCAAATATCTAAACACGACGAAAATGTTAATCCCTGTTTGATGGCTCGTATGCCACAAGTCATGAAACATTACATCTTCATATAACTGGTTCAAAGAATCCCTCAGGCGCTCAATTTCGTCTTTCGATACTTGTGTACGATCTCTCTAAAAACATACGATCAGTACTTGCACAAACAACAATAACAACTGTGGCCGTGAACACATACAAGCATGAGGGCTTGGTTGAGTTCTTCCGTGAGGCGTTCAACTTGCAATGCACAGGCCTTTTCTCGTTCAAAAGCCATATGGTATTCTTGTTCTTCCTTGGCAGCGGTGGCTTTCATTTTGCCGGTCATCGAAGCCTTCACACTCTTGAAACTCACTCGCTTCATCTTGCGAGTATCTTCGTATTCCTTCCGACTATCCAACGCATTAGCAGAAAAAAAGATGTTGCGAGTGGCATCAAACCGTTACCTACGTTATCTTTTTGAGCTCCTCAAGGTCTTTGTTGAGTTTCTCCACCACTTTGGTCAGCCGGTCTTTTTCAGCGCTGGCTTTTCGGTACTGGCTGTCGACCCATTGCAGTTCCTGAATTCGAGCGTTGAGTTCTCGAAATTGTCCTTCCCGCTGGTGCAATCTCTGTGCGAAATCCGTCATGGTTGAAGGATGGAGGGAAAAGCTGGACCAGAGCCACACAAAACCAGGCGCTGCCTTATCGGAGGGAAACCGCTTTTTTCGGTTCATATCCCGGTGACGTCACGCTCATTGTTTCAATTCATTCTGTTTCATGAAATTGAGGAAGGTAGGTTTAGAACCGTATTGAGCACGGGAAGGGGAGGGTAAAGCGTAAAAAGAAGTTCTGGCCTAGCAACGTCGGGTAGAGTGGCATAGACCCCCACACGGCACGGCACGGCACGGCATGGTGTCATTTTTCTATATTACAGCTTTTATCCTATCGAGCCATCCTACCTTTCAACCCAATGCACCAAAGTAGAAATACCGTCGAGTACATCCTTTCTGTAAAGGCCATTGTTTAACTAAAGTGCTAATCCATTATGGTTAAGCTTCAAGCTCCGCCGAAGGGGTCCAAGCCGTGGCCACTCCGCCAACCACTTCGCAGCTAATAGGGTCACCATGAAACATGGTGTTCTGGGATTAAGAAGGCATTTAGGTAGTGGGTACGTGCAAGTGTTACGTTACAAGATAGTGCACTACACAATGGAGCTTCTAAAAACGGAAGGAAGAAAGCTTCCATGCCGTAGAACAGATGCCTGCTCGTACAGAGAATGCCAACATCGATCTATGTATGAAGCTTTTCTGCAAGTGTTTTATTTTTTCTTACACATTTCATCCCACCCAAATTTCTTCTACAACTCATTACCAACAGTAACCCAATAATCTCGTAAATTGTTTTTTCGGCCAAAGATCTCTAGATATCGGCCTAAAATGGGACAAGTTTGGTTATGACAGGTGTATCACTGAGCGACAATATCCACAACGTACCATTAGGAACAAGCTCTTCGATCATCTCATACAACTCTTCAGGTTTTTGACTCTGACCACGTCGTTCTGAAAAGATCACATCTGATCCAACCGAATGCCTGCATCCCGGTGGGTCTTCTCCCTACGCAAAGGAACACCAACACATGAGTTCATCCATCTACTGACAAGGTACCAACGAGATTTTTTACCTTCTTGCCAACCAGACAGGTTTCTTTAGCGTGCTGCAGATAGTATCCGTGACCCTTGGCCATACGTCGATTGACGGTCTGCTTGACCCACGTTATATCGTCGACGTACTTGTAACCCCATTTTTCCATCAACTCGAATGCCTTTGCATACTTGTTGTTGATGACCCATATGAAGATGAATCCGTTCTTGGACAGTTTGGGAATAGGGATCTCCTCAATGCAGACGTCAGGGAGTTGTTGGTATGCAATGGCTACACCACGGGTGGGGGCGTGTGTGGCAAGCTGCCATGGCGGATCGGCCAAGATGACATCGAACTGTGTTTCTGCTGCCAGTGCCTATATCCGTGGGGACGAGTTAAAACCCTAGCAACGGGGAGACAATGGAAAAAAACCCTTTCTGCAATAACTTACATCCCAGTCAAAGTTCATGACGTTGGCTTTTATGGGCACGCACCATTGTGGTGCCTCGAACTCTTCCATATCAATCTCTGTAAGGGAGAGGGGGTTAGACAAAGTGGTTTCAGTTGCGATGCGTCGATGGTTGATCCATTCGAAACGCATGCATGCGCCGTAACTTACCTTCATCGTCTTCTTCTTTAGGCGCTGGATTGATTTGAGATTCAAGTTTGGCAATTTCGGTGGTGAGGGCATCTAGCTGGGCCTTCAATTTGGTCTCTTCTTGTAACAAAGCCTTCAGACTAGAATCTGTGACATTGTCAAGGGCAAAGTCATCAGCATCGACTGATATTGGTGTATCCTCGCGTGAGGACATTATGAAAAAGAATGAAAGAAAACGCGTCTTAACGAAACTCAAAAAATTACACACAAAAAAAATATAAAAAAATCCGGGTGAGCGCGCGTCTTTAAATTTTTATGACAAATTTTATATTACAGGAGGGGAAAAGGTGTGAATATTACAAGGAGAGCATACGAGGAAAGTCTATCAGACAAAGGACGGAAACAAAAAGCAATAGAATACTGTGGTTTGGTAGAGTGGCTGCTGCGGATTTGACCGTGGTCAAGGTGGTTTGGTCAGGCGTAGTGACGTGAGGAGGGGTACAGATATTTCTTTGTTTGATATCCTCCGTAGTGGTGATGGAATAGTTGTTGTTGGAAAGGACCGTCGAGTAGCCCATGGTGTCCAGCACATGTAGTATACCCGGACCTATCGCGCTTCTATAGGTAACGTTGAGTGTGGTTGTGGAGTTCACTTTTTCAGTATAATTGATGGCTGGTATATTAGCATATACCGAGTCGATGATTTGTTCCAACGTAGAGCCTAGGATGGGGGTTGTCCGGAGGAGAAAATCAGGTGTTTCTTCATACATGTCGTCCACATGGGAGATGGACACACCAGGACGGAAATTGGTGAGCGTCATTTCCGTAGCGTTGGTCAAACTGCCAGATGTGAACATAGTCAGGTTGGAGTAATGCGCTTTGAGATAGCTATGGTTGCCATAAATTTGGTTGAAGCTTGTCAAATTGGGGAAATTGAAGAAAAGTGTCTTGTTGGTGTTGGCGATGTTCCATAAATAGCGAGCTTTCGCGGAAACGTCAGCAACGTTGAATTGGCGAACAAAGTTAATAATAAAGGCATCATTATTTTTAGCGCAAAACTGCTGTAGGTCAACCACCAAATCAGCCAAGGAGTTTGGTTCTTGATCTCCATTACCAGGGTCGAAGGCGGCAAGGAACTTATCAAAGATCATGGTGGGTTGGAAGCCATAAATGAAGGAGGCTCCGGTGGACGTGTCTGTGTAAGCGTTCGGTGTCGGGGTGAGAAGTTGCAGTTGCTGAGGCTGGAACATGTCTTCCACCAGGGCATGATAGGGCGATGAGTCAGCATAAAAGAAGGCTCCCCATGAGCTGATGAAACCCATTCCATGCAACAATTCGTGTAGGATGACGTATTCCATGTCAACTTGATTGTATCTGATGTCTGGGTCGCCCTAAGAAAGCAAGCAAATGGGAAGGTTTCAATATCCGCTGAACTCTAAGGCAAAAAACTAAATTGCCTGCTTACCTGGAACCAAAAGTGCCCACCTGCAGGCACACCGGTACCATTCCAACCATCGTCTTTGGCAGTACCCAAGTCAATGGTTGACATATAAGCATCATGATTCAACTCGATGGAGATATCCTCGGCTGACCAGTTTGTTGTGTTATAGGGAGCGAGTTGTTTGGCCAACGATTGTGGGTATAAGTAATTGGGGTCTACACCTCCGACATTAGGCAGTGTAAATTGTGATGTGGGTGCACCCCAGCCCAACGTTGAGTTTGAACAAGTGTTATCACAAAAACTGTAATAGGAAACCTCGATGCTATTACGTTGAAGAAAAGGATGAGGTGAGCAGGCAGAAAGTCAGTAAAAAAAAAAAGTAGTATCCTTGCCAAGCAAAGTTAACATCACTCACGTCAATTTGCTTTTCAAGCGAACCACCTGGGCAAGCTTGTAAGCTGCGGCCCCTAATGCATTGCCAACCTTTTTACAAAAGGTAGTATCTATGTTGCAATATAAGACAACCTCAAGATGCGAGTCTACAGCCTGAGTGTAGTTCGCAGTGGAGTTGGAGGACAGCGCAGTTGAAATGGTAGCTGGAGAATTTCCAGTGTCATGGTTAGTGGCAGTCGTAGTGGCTGTGGTGGCCGTTGAAGAAACCGAAGAAACGTTGGCGACGGTTGTGGCCGATGGTTTGGTGGAATCTATGGGTACTGCTGCGCCATTGTCTCCTGGTACAACGATGAGTACATTGGGATGAAGGGCAGCATTAATGTGGTAGTTAGGTTGCCTACTTCGTTTTTTTAAATGGACGGCCGGTAGGTAATGTGTGGAACGTTGAGCCGAGTGCACAAGATCATATCTCTGTACTTGTGCATCAATCGTTATAATATTGCAAAGTAATAGTAGCAACAGCAGCTGTAAGCAGCTGCTTTGCATGAGAGCCAGTTTAAATAGGAATGGGGAAGGAGAAGAAAAACTTGTGGCCTGTGGAAATTTCTGTCAAAACGTTTTCTGTACACTCCACGAGCTAAGGGAAATCATTGGTCCGGCTTGGTTCTCAGCTGAGACGAATGTTTTCGATTCACACCAATAAATCACTGATATCATCATCGTAGCTTACGAGAAAGAAGTGCCTTCATAAAGAGATACTACACTGAGAAATTCATGGTTATGGTTCAGTATCGACCTTGGTTGCCATATATCGGTACGAAAGTTTCCATAGACTTCGACAGCCCTCTCCCCCTTTTCTCTATTCTGTTCTATTCAACTCACTCCTTTTCACGTTCATTCATCGTAAACGATAGAATGAAGGTAGAGTGAATGTAGACATGTATATACTTTGGCGACCTACAAAAAGTCGATGTGTGTGGTGGGCTACGAAGGGCAGAGAAAAAATAATCAGCGTTTTTCAATCTCCTCAATTTTTTCAACAGGCAACAGCAAACACTTTTTTTTTTTTTGGTTCATGGATTCCATCATGGAGCCTAACAAAGCAGCCCATGATTTGGCGCAAGTCAGAAAGCTTATCGAGGGAATGAACGCCCTGGTCAACAGTAGCCAGTCTCACCTTCAACAACAGCAACAAAAAGCTGAACCGGCCGAGCCTAGCATTCCCGTCACTACGGAATCCTCGCCCCAGTCGACCATGACCTCCATGCCAGACACTTCTAACCCACTTTACAATATGTCGCAACTCACCACCCCTCTTAATGCCATCATAGTCGAGGTTAACCACCTTGTATTCAACCGCACTCTTTTTTTCTCACTAACACGTAAGGTTACTTTGACGTACCTTTCGGCGCGCGGTCACATTGTTTCCACTCACACCATATTTGTTTTTGTTACAGCTGATGCTACCATCGAGCCCTTGATAACTTGGCTGCGACTTTCCTTTGACGACCCCAATATCTCAGGCATGGTGTTGCAGTACAAAGGCCAAGATTCTTTGTGGAAATGCTTATTAAATCGTAAGTGTACCTTTCCAGCCTGCGTGGGTAAACAATGGATGCTGATTTGAACCCCTTTTTGACAGGTGATGATTCTCTTCGACGAGTGCTTAAGCAAACTCTCAAAGCTAATTTGATTCTGCAACTACGAGTTCCAAGAGAGCAGGATCTCTTGAGTGTAAGTATAAATACATGGCGAACCGCCTTCCGAGCATAAACTAACAATAGATCTGTTCAGTCTGGATATACCGATAAGCGATTGCTCATGCTCACCACCAAGCCGTAGTGTTTTATCCATCCGACGGCGATTCCAATGTACTTTTAGTTGATTTTTTTTCATGTCCTACATACATTTTCTTCCTTTCCTATATTTCTCAAGGCGAACAATGTTGAGTTTGTTCAAACCAAACCAAAAATTTTCTGGCAAAGCAAAATGGGCATTTTACTTCAAACACAAATCAATCTGCACTTAGAAGAATGTATTTTTTGTAAAAGAGAAGAAGTAAAGATGTTGTCTTTTATAACACGCAGAACCACATCACTCCCACTTTGGCATGCAACAAAACTATATTGCTTTATGTATTCATTCTACACATTTTCCGTAGTGAAGCAAACATGACATGACCACCTGGGGCTTTTTATGCAGCGGGGCGTCGTCTGCCAGGTGCTGCAGGTCGTTTGAAGCCGCCAGGAGTTTGTCCAAGCATCTGAATACGCTCGCCCACCACGCTTCCGGTGGGTGTACTGGCGTTGGAGCTGCCAACCACTTCTTCCTTGAGGTACTCTTCGGTAAGGTCCGCAGGATCACTTGTCTCGAGCTGCCACCGAGCAATGAGACGGTTAGAACCGAGATCGCAGTGTGGCGGACGGATACAGACATGTCCTTACCTTTTTAACCACCTTTAAATTTGCTTCCGCTTCTGCTGTAGCGATGGCTCCGCCTCGGCTGCACGAATACAACATCTTTTCACGGAGCTTGGATGCCGGTGGGCATGTGTAAATAAATACTAGAAACTGGGTTGAGTACAATATCAAGTTCAAAAAGTGCGAGAGACTATACCTCACCTAAGGATGCGTCAGTATTGCCATGTTCGAAAGCGTAAAACGTAAAGCGTGGTGAATCGGCAGGAATGGTTTTGGCAAGGTCACCTGCTGCCACAGTAGAAGCATTGTCCAATTGGATGGTTTCGTTCTCCTTCTCCAAGCGCTAAGCAGTAACGAAATCAATTGCCTAGTTCCAGTATAGGGTGTTGGTTTCAACATAGTGCTTACCAGCGAGACGTAATTGTGGGATCGGCTCGATTTACCCAAATCCTCCAAAGCTGCTTGTGCTTCTTCACTGAGTGGGACGGCTACGCCAGCAGCATACGTTTTACGAACCGTAGTTCCCATATGATTTGATGATGCCTTGGACTATGCAAGGAGAAAAGAAGAATGATTAAACACATTCAACATAGGAAGATCAAAAGATGAAGCGCTGCGAGCTCTTACCTCTTGAGCCTTAATCTCGGCCAATTCTCTTTCCCTTGCCGTCAATGGTGCTTCGGCAGTTTGGTGTGACTTGTGCTTCTTGTATCCGTCCAAAGTGAATTCGCTCTGTAGAATATCAAGAAAGGGTCCCATATTAAACATGATTCTGTTGTTTCCACAATTTTGCCTGGTAGCACTTTGCCAATGTCTTTCAGATAGCTCTCAACTTACGGCTTCTGTACCCCACATGTTATCAACAAAGCGATAATCTCCAAGGTCCTTGGTCAAGCTAGCTCTCGATGAAGCGTACAGCATCTTGTCACGGACTTTTGAGTTATCAGGTACATATGCGATGAATAACCAGTTGTACTCGCCAGCCGAAGATTTCGTATCCAGGCGAACCAAGATGAAAGAGGGCTGAGAATCATCGAGATACTTTTGAAGTTCGGAAAAATCTACCCAGGATGTGCGTTAGCCATAGATAAACGGACGGACGTGGCGGGGTTGCCAAAGAATATGCATCCTACCTTCTTCGAAAGATCCGCTAGCAGGTGATTGACCGTTTTCAACCAAAGATTCTATAACCAAAATGAGAGATAATGAGGACGCTAGTGAAACGCAGGTAGCGTAAGAAGAAGACTCGTACCGTTGACGATAGAGACCCTCAAAATACGGGTTTCTCCTGAAGCGACGGCCTTAGCGAATGCGGCAGCTAATTCCTGTGAAACTATCAGTAGAGCCGAGTGTTAGCTTATAACAACGAGAAAAACAAAAAGGGCTTGGTTTATTTGCTTCACCACTTGCCTTGGATACCACTTTGGTTGGACATTGTCGATGTGCGGATGAGGAAGGAGCGATGACGCGGGGAGTCTTTCGAGAGCAGCAGCAGTCTAAGCACTGTCACAACGAGTG